AAATTCCCATGGTCTCCACTCCTGTCACATTACCTGCCCTCTTCCAGTCTGCACCTGTGGCCTCATGGGGAGTTCCTTATGATCATTTGACTAAGAAAACTCGTGTCTGGTTTATAGATGGTTCTGCATGATATACAGGCACCACTCGAAAGTGGACAGCAGCAGCACTGCAGCCCCTTTCTGGGACCTCCCTGATGGACAGTGGTGAAAGAAAATCTTCCCAATGTGTAGAACTTAAAGCAGTGCACCTGTTTGTTTGCTTCGAAGGAGAAATGGCCAGATGTGCGATTGTATACTGATTCATGGGCTGTGGCCAGTGGGTTGGCCGGATGGTCAGGGTCTTGGAAGGAACATGATTTGAAAATTGGTGACAAGGAGGTATGGGGAAGAGGTCTATGGATAGACCTCTGTGAATGGGCCAGTGAAGATATTTGTGTCTCATGTGAATGCTTACCAAAGGGTGACCTCAGCAGAGGAGGATTTTAACAATCAAGTGGATAGGATGATGCATTTTGTGGTAACCAGTCATCTTCTTTCCCCAGCTACTCCCATCATTGCTCAATAGGCTTATGAACAAAACAGCTATGGTGGCAGGGATGGAGGTTTTGCACTGGGCTCAACAACATGGACTTCCACTAACCAAGGCTGACTTAGCTACAGCCACTGCTGAGTGCCCAATTTGCCAGCAGCAGAGACCAACACTGAGTCCCCAATATGGCACCATTCCTCGAGGCAATCAGCCAGTAACCTGGTGGCAGGATGATTACATTGGACTGCTTCCATCTAGGAAATGGTGGCGTTTCATTCTTGGTGGTATAGACACTTAAGTCTGGATATGGATTTGCCTTGCCTGCACGCAGTGCCTCTGCCAGAACTACCATATGTGGACTCACAGAATGCCTTATCTACCATCATGGTATCCCACACAGCATTGCCTCTGATCAAGGGACTCAAAACTTCACAGCAAATGAAGTATGGCAATGGGCCCTTGCTCATGGAATTCACTGGTCTTACCACATTCCCCATCATCCTGAAGTGGCTAGATTGATAGAACGATGGAATAGTCTTCTAAAGACACAATTATGGCACCAGCTAGGTAGCAACATTTTGCAGGGTTGGGGCAATGTTCTCTAGGAGGCTGTATATGCTGTAAACCAGCATCTAATATATGGTGCTGTTTCTCCCATAACCAGAATTCACAGTTCCAGGATTCAAGGGGTGGAGATGGGAGTGGCACCACTCACTATTACCCCTGCTGACACACTCACAGAATTTTTGCTTCCTGTCCGTACAACCCTAGGCTCTGCAGGTCTAGAGGTCTTAGTTTCAAAGGGATGAATGCTCCCACCTGGAGACACAACATTGATTGCATTGAACTGGAAGTTAAGAATGCCACTCGGCCACTTTGGGCTCCTCATGCCTCTAGATCAGCAGGCAAAGAAGGGAGTTACCATATTTGCTGGTGTGGTTGACACTGACTACCAAGGGGAAATTGGGTTGATGTTGCATAATGGAGGTGAAAAAGAGTGTATCTGGAATACAGGAGATCCCTTAGGGCATCTCTTAATACTACCATGCCTTGTGATTAAAGTCAGTGGAAAACTATAGCAACCGAATTCTGACATAACTACTAACGGCCCAGACCCTTCAGGAATGAAGGTTTGGGTCACCCCAGCAAGCAAAGAACCACAGCCAGCTGAGGTGCTTGCTGAGGGTAAAGGGAATACGGAATAGGTGGTGGCAGAAGGTAGTTCTAAATATCTGTTAGGACCACGCGACCAGTTGCAGACACAAGGACTGTATTTTTTAATGGGTATTACTTCCTTGTATGTGTGCATGAAATATATTTGTTTTCTTTACTTATATAAAATGTAAATGGGGCTAGTGTGTTTTTGGTTGTACGCATGTTCTATCATGTTAGGTACAAGTATAATTTTGTCTTTATTTAGAGATTGCATATGGTTTAAGGAGAAGTGTACAGGTGCCAAATTGACAAGGGGTGGACTGTGATGGTTAAGGTTGTGTGTCAGCTTGGCTGGGCCATGATTCTCCTTGGTTTGGCATTTATGTGATAATGTAGTCATTCTCCGTGATGTGATCTGATGTGATCAGCCAATTAGTTGTAAGGGGAGTTTCCTTGGGGTGTGGCCTGCATCCAGTATATATTTGGATGTTCTGGTAAAGCTCGCTTGCTTGCTCTGGATCTTGCATCTGGCTCATCATTATCTGACCTCCAGTTCTTGGGACTTGAGCCAGTGGCCTGCCGTATTGCCTGCTGATCTTGGGATTTGTCAGCTTCTGCAGCCTGTGAGTAAGCAGCCTGCCATCTTACCTCCCCATCTTGGGATGCATCAGCCTGCACAGCCTGTAAGCCAGCAGCCTGCTGTTGACCTGCTGACCTTGAGTTCGTCAGCCCCTGCAACTACGTGAGTCAGGAGAAGCCTCCAGCATGATACCTGACCCATGGACTTGGGACTTGCCAGCCTCTACAACTGTGTGAGCCATTTTCTTTAGATAGATAGAAAGAAAGGCAGGCTTCACTGGTTTTGTGTCTCTAGAGAACCCAGGCCAAGACACTGGGGAACTGGCGGTGAGCTTTAGGGATTCTGTTATTTCCCTGGCATAATGTCCAGATTAGAGACAGGTGAAGCTTCACCCCTTGACCACACTCAGATCTGGGCCTTCTGAATTCTACTACTAGGTAAGATAAAGCAGTGAGAAAAACTAGAGGAAAGCATTCTTTTCTCTGGAAGTTGGAACATCATGAGCCCAGTAGTCCAGAAGAAAGCAGGCTGGAGTGAGCCAGAGATAGCCCAAGGACCCACTTTGCACACCAGCCACCCAGAAAAGGAAGCTTTATCATCTCTCTTCTCTGTCCACCTCCAGCATCATAGTCCTCTTCTTGGGCCTTGACCCATACTGATGCACCTTCATAACAGGGATGGGATGCTTTGATGGCCCCCCTAGCAGTGCGATTATACCTCTGACATTGACAAGGCTGGGGACCCAGAGTATGATGAAAAGGCTGGAATTTGGGAGACCTATTTTCTTCTTAAGCAATTCTATTACTCTCAAGAATATCGAGTAACTAGATTGGTCTGGTTTCTGTAAAACCAAGAGTTGCCTAGCACAGGGCTTCTCAAACTTTAATGTCCATGTGAATTACTTGGGGATCTTGTTATTTGAGATTCTGATTTGGGAGGTCTAGGGTCGGAGTCTGCAGCTCTGGCAGGTTCTCAGATAGTGCTGGTGCTGCCGGTCCATGGACCACCCTTTGAGTAACAAGGTTCCTAAGGGGACTGGCTTGTAGGAGGCCCTCGGGTTCATATGAATCAGCCTGGCAGTTTGTGTGAGGATGTGCACTTCCAAAATGCTTGAGAGGACTTCAAGATATTATTTCAATAGATTAAATATTTCTCTTAGTATTCTGTCAACAAACTAAATGATTCGTGTTAACTCTTCATAGAGAATGTGAAGAGGAAAGTAACTGTGATTGGTAATTGAGGCTGAGACTTGGCTATAGTTTTCTTTTAAGAAAATGAAGGAACTTTGAAAGGTACCTAATCCAGGCTTCAGCCTCCAACCTTAGGCATTTGAAGATGAGTTTCTGTGAGGAAAGGAGCCCAGGAGTAACCCATACCACCAGCATTGCATGACAGTCAGAAACTGGTGGGGCCGTTGCCCTGTGTAGCACATGGTGAGAAGGGCTGTAAGCTTGTATTGCAGGAAGCCCTGGTGGTGCAGTGGTTAAGAGCTCTGACTACTAACCAAAAGGTTGGCAGTTCAAATCCACCAGCTGCTCGTTGAAAACCCTATAGGGAAGTTCTACTCTGTCCTGTAGGGTCACTATGAGTCAGAATTGACTCAACGGCAATGGGTTGTATCTGCATATTTTCTATTTTATTTCTTTCCCATATACTTTTTGTCTGTCCTTCCTCTTTTCCTAATGTGGAAGAGAGAAATGCAGGTGGGATAGGGAGGGGATTGGGAGAAGAGGTAGGAAAAAGAAATACCCTTTGGGCTTAGTCTTTCTTCCCTTTCCCTCTTGCCTTCCAGAGTTATCTTTGATGCACCGAGATTCCCCACCAGCCATCCCAAGCATTTCTTCCTGGGACTCCCTCCATGTTCAAAATCTGAGACCCAGAATGAGTTTCTTCAACCAGATGGTGACTTCATGGAAAGGATGCAGGGTCTCCCAAACCCCTCTCCTAGCCCAGCAATGGCTGGGATCGGGCTTCCTTCAAAGACACTACAGCTCCCTCCAAGACTCAGCCACCAACCCAAAGTGCCTTAGCCCAGGGTCCCAGGCTCCTGCGACCCACTCAGGACCCCTGCCACCCTCGGACAAACTAACCCATGTGGACACAGAAGGACGGGCAGCTATGGTAGATGTGGGTGGGAAGCCAAACACAGAGCGGGTGGCCGTGGCCTCAGCTGTTGTCCTTCTTGGGCCTGTGGCCTTCCAGCTCATCCAGCAGAACCAGCTAAAGAAGGGAGATGCCCTGGTGGTAGCCCAGCTAGCTGGAGTCCAGGCAGCCAAGATGACCAGCCAGCTGATTCCTCTGTGCCACCACGTGGCCCTGAGCCACGTCCAGGTGCAGTTGGAGCTGGACAGCATGCGCCATGCTGTGGTGATCCAGGCATCGTGCCGAGCTCGGGGCCCTACAGGGGTAGAGATGGAGGCCCTGACTTCGGCTGCGGTGGCTGCCCTTACCATGTACGACATGTGCAAGGCAGTGAGCAGGGACATCGTGCTGGAAGAGATCAAGCTCGTTAGCAAGACTGGGGGTCAGCGGGGGGACTTCCACCGGACTTAGAGTTCCTGCCCCCCACCCATGGCCCAGCCAGGCCAACAGGTGGGATGCAACTCAGGCCAAGGAGAAGATATCAAGTTCCTTTAACCCTGTCACCATTTACCTTCACCAGTGGGAACCCAAGGTCAGCCCGCGCTCCTTTAGTGCTAGATGATCTAGAATTCACTGACCTGAAAGATGTTTCCTTTATATAGACAGGAAACCATCCACCCCTTAAACTTTGTAGGACACTAAGGTCCTAGAAACACGCAATTCTAGATAACTGTGAAAGAAAACCACGTTGTGTTATTTGTGGACTATTTCAGACAATTCATTGCAGCCAGTCTGGTCCTTGGCTTCCACTTCTCATTTTGGGTTTTCTCATCTCCTATTTCCCCCGGGAAGGAATAAAGGCTTATTAAGCAGTGAAGCCCTGGTGGCGCAGTGGTTAAGAGCTCAGCTGCTAACCAAAAGGTCAGCAGTTGGAATCTACCAGCCGCTCCTTGGAAACCCTATGGGGCAGTTCTACTCTGTCCTATAGGTTCACTATGAGTCAGAATCAACTGGACGGCAACGGGTTTAAGCAATGGAACTCCCTTTGAGGAGGGAAAAACACCCACTCAGATAAAGAATGTATCCAGACTTCTCTGCAGCAGCTGGACCCACCTATGGTTGTGGCAGCTGCAAACCCGCCCTGTCCCACCTATCTACCATCCTCCTTTGAAAGAGCCAGTTTTTCCCTCCTTTTGCCTGAGTCCATCCCATCAAACATCCAGGCTTTTGGCTTAACAGTTGCACTGCCCTGCCAGCTCCCCCTCCTCTTAAATGGGACACACATGGCCGCAGCCCTAAGGACTTCTGACCAGCCACATATCCCGCACCTGGCCCTGCTCACTGCCATTCTGCCCACCCTTTGATTCTGGAACACGTCAGGGAAAGAAGAGCATTGAAGATTGCCTTCACCCTCACAGTGCGCACACAAAGCCACGATGCCAATTTTGGAGATGCAGGGGTGAGACTGTGCAGAGGGCACTGATCTGCTATGATTTCATGCCTGCCCCTCAGCCCCATCTCAAGACCTACTCCCTTGTGGGGATAGGAGAAGTAGAGACCTTGGGAAAGCATATTCTCTGCATATTCCCCCTCTCCCTTGGGGGAGAATGTAGGTGTGGAGTGGGAGGCATAGAAATGTACTATCTAAATTTGTCAGGTGGGCGTGTCCAGTACTTGACTTCTTGGAAGCAGATCACCTGGGTGGTTCGAACCACCAACCTTTTAGTTAGCAGCCGAATGCTTAACCATTTACACCATCCACGGAGCTTATTAAAGATCAGGGGGAAGTGCGGTTTACAGGCTCCTGGTTTTCACATCCCAAAACACTGGACTGGCCCTCTGGGTTCTCTACCAAAGATGGGTTTCTTTGGGTCCATCTTCAGTAGTGCCCCCTGTTTGCCTCCCCTCTGCCCTATGCCAAAAGGTGCTGGCAAACATTTAACAACTGACTCTCCAGAAAAGAAAACACCAATTTCCATGTATAACTAATGCCCACCTTGGTCGATTTCAAGCTACCAATATGGCGTCAACTGGCTTGCCAACTTCCTGGAAATGTAACTGTCAGCTGTCATGAAACTGGTACGATTTGTCTCCAGCACACCGCTGGCTATGCCTACTCGCCAGCCCACCTCAGGACCCTAGGAAGAAGGCACAAGTTTCAAGGCAGGCTGGGTAGGGATGGTATGGATTTAATAATTTTTAGTATTATAAAAAAAAAAAAAGGTGCAGATAAAAAGGGCACTGCAGATTTTGTACATTAGACTCATTTGTCATCTGAGACAGCTGGTGAGAGCAGCGTCGGCATGAAGGCCTCACTGGTAGAGGTGGGGGAGATGGTCACAGTGCCCCAGTTGGTAGAAATGGAAAAGCCTGGCCCAGACCCCTCCCCATCCCACTTGGAAAGTTATCTCCTCCCACGGCCCTAAACAACCTTAACTTCCATCCCGGGGTGGGGGGGAATAGGTGCAGCTGCTGAAAAGGGACCAGGTTGTATTAGGTCGACTGTGAATTTTACACTGGACACAAAATTAGACAGTGGGTAAGATCTACCCAAAGGTGGATGAGGGGCAGGAAGGGTGCTGGGGAAAGCAGGACCAAGGAACAAATGTAGTAGGCTTCGATATTTAGCGTAGCAAGGACCATCTCAGCCACTTCTGTGGAGCACCAGCCCCTTCTTGCTAAGAAGTTAACCACGATGGTCCTTGATCCAAGGCACTATTGGATATCTGGCTACAATGGCCTCTGGCACCAGAGTCTTTGGCCAGAACTAGAAAATAATAAATAGAGAAGGAGAAATCGTTGGGAGTGAGAAGCCTGGGCCCCAGAACATTGTATGTGCCTTCTGTAAACAGTTAAACTGTGCTTTTCTGCAGATTGAATGTGTCATGAACAGCTTCCACATCCCTTATCTTTGCTGGTGTATATCCAGTCTTCCATGGTTGGTAGAATATCAGGGTTTGGAAATGCTTGTTGGACAGAAGGGGAAACCCTCTCCTGTTCCCTGGCCCTGGCTGGTAAGGTTTCCCCAGCCAAGTCAGCTTGGAAGAGGAGTAGGAGGCCCACCCGAAACCTTCCCAACACCTGCTTCCTGCAACAGGGGCTTCTGGGTGTGCAGGTGGTATAACAAAGCTCTCTGCAGCTGTTCTTCCTGGAAGCTTGCATCTTGCCCTCACCTGGATTCCAGGATGGCCTCTTCACACCTGTCCCAGCCAGGCTTGCACTTGCTCAGGTCCCTCCCACCAGAACACACATGCATACCCACTCAAACCATCACACATGCTGGGCTCACCAGACCTGTGTTTCTTCCACCACAGCTATAAGTCCAACCCCCAGGAATACAATGTAGGGGAAAGGCAGAAGATAGGCAGCTGAAGAGTGGGCCCAGCCGACCAGTCTGTACACCGGCAATACCCTGAGCCAGAGGATTGGGTCAGAAGGTGAGAGACAGACGGAAGGGCAGGGGGCTGAAGGGTAAGGAGCTGGTTGATGGGTCAGGCAGAGCTGGTCTCAGAGGATGAAAGGTCGCCTCTGGGGTAGAAATGTAGTCAGCCTTGGTGGAGCTGACCTCACCCTCCTTTAGAAGAGAGAAAATTTGTGTAGATACAGCCGTTGTCTGCCGCCCCCTCCCCGCCACAGGAAAGCTCAAGATGGACAAAATGGAAGGTGGAAGTGAACAGGAGAACCAGAACAAGCCCCTTAGAAGTCAGATTGAAGAACCACATTGGGTAGCAGAGATGTGGGGTGGGAGCTCTCTCTCTGCTTCCTCCTCTGACTCTTTTGGGCAGTGTGCTCCCCAGGGGAGTTGGCCTTCCTCATTCCTGCTCCATGCTCCATCCTCCGTCTCCCCAGCTTCCCCTGACTGCTCTCTCAGTCCCCTGTCACAAAGTCTTAGCAGTGACATGTAAATACAGATAGGTAGCTCTGGCCCTTGGGACCCTCTCAGGAAGTCACTCCTCAGCAGGGCACATGTGTTTCAAAATGGCCTCCTGCAGGCTAGACAGAGTGGGAGGTCAGGTGGCTTTTGCCCTGTGGCAGGTGTTAGAAAGCCAGGATCTGGGTGACATTGAGTGGTAAAACAGGGAGCTCTTGGGTGGAGATGGCATTCAAGTGTGCCCTCTGGTGAGGGGCTATCAGGAACTCCTAAGCAACATGTGAGGTCACTGTCTCACTTCAAGACAACGGTCAGGTTGTATGGGGAAGGTGGAGGGAGGGGTCGTTCCAGGGTCCCTATGCCCAAGGCATGAGATGGCGTGATGGATGGGGTCTTTCTTGGAACTTCCTCGCATACCAGATTCATCCACAGTGGAACCCAAACATGACTTTTCTGGAATTCTGGATTACTAGATAGGATGGAGGTGGGGGGTAGGGAAGGAAGGGCGGGAGACTTAAGACATGCAAGAGAGAGGCCAATGGAATCATGTAGGAAACAGGCCCTGGTGCTCTGTGTCCTGATGGCTCTAGTTCTCGCATCATCCTCCCAGCATTTTTTTTTTCTGGAATATACTGGAGCTGATCTAGCAAGAATATATAATGCCTCTTCCTTTTCCATCCAAGTGGAAAGTTTGCCCCCAGCTCTGGAGCTCAGCTGGATGTTCCAAGCCTCTAGAGGGATGGGAACCCGGACTCCCTCACCCTGGCTCTCGGGGGGCCCACCCCCACCCTGTTACTCCCCAGTGCACATGAAATCCGGACAAGGTACATGGGCGCCTCAGGTCTAGATCTGGAACAATTCTGTGCCAATACGTGAGTGCCCTTGGTGGGGGATGGGGAGCAGGCTTCCCTTATCCTGTGGTTACTTGGCCAGTGGCCTAGGGCCTGCCGGGGATGCCCGAGCCATCCTCAGAGAATGACCCCTCGGGGCAGGGATGCAAAAAGAATAATATGAAGGGGAGATGAGAGAAGCCCCCTTAACGCAAGTGTGTGGAGACTCCTGGTCCAGCCGCGCACACTGCCACCCTGGGACCCAGCCCAGGGCTCTGCCACATTGTTTAAGCATCACCGCCTCCTCCACCCGGCCCCTTTGGGCCCCACCCCTATCTCCCGGCCTTCAGCTGTGGCCAGTCCCCAGGTCAATAATTTAGCCTGTTTATTGCCCGCTCCCGGGTGACTTCCAGGGCCTGGTTCCCCGATCGTTTGCGGCTGCGCTTGAGCTTGCTCAAGTCCTTGTCGAAAACTTCCCCCGAGCGCAGGGCCGACACCAGGTCATCGAATTCGCCTCCCTCCTCCAGCGCGCTGCCTGCGAGGACCTTCCGCTGCCGCTGCCACCGCTCCCGCTCCCTCTGCTCTTTCAGCTGTGGCAGATGGGGAGTGAGAGGAACCCGGGGTGAGCTGGGACAGAGGCCAATGCTTCCCAAAATGGATGCCCTCCCACCAGGGGCTAAGTTCTGGGCTGTGCGCCAAGATGCTTGTGTTTATCAATTGGCCCCGTTTTCCTCCTTCCAGGATGCCCTTGGCCTCTCACCTCACTCTTCTCTTTTAGGCTTGCCCCAGGCCCTCTCCCTCAGCCCAGGAAGGGGTTTCTCTCTCTTTGGGGCTGACATCGGTTCCTACTGTATTCCTCAGACCCTGCGCTCCTCATACACACCCCATCAGACCAAGCTTTCTACCCTCATCCCTAGCTACAGCCCCAGCCTTGACCAGCCCTCACCATGGCCTCCATGCGTGCCCGCCGCTCCTCCTCCTCCTTCCTCCTCCTCATGGCCTCCAGGTCCTGCCGGGCCTCCGAGAAGGCCTGCAGGAAGGTGTCAAAGATGCCAAAGAATTCGTCCGGCTGCATCTTGCTCTCCTGCTCTCCGAAGTGCATCAGAGCCTTGGCGAACTGGTGAAGGAGGGGAAGGGTTTGTGGAGCAACCCCCAAGTGCGGTGGCTCAGACATGCGGTTAGCTGGGTTCCAGCCACAGCTGGGCTCAGTCCCAGGCTGAAGAGCATTGGCATGGGGGCAGGGGGAGGGGCTGGAGGGAGTGGGACAGCCCCCTTATCCAGAGGGGCAAGGGACTAAACTGAAGGAAAGGCTTGAGGTGACACCTGGGAGGTGAGGGACAGGAGCCAGCCTGCGGACCTTGGCTGCCATACAGTCTGCCTGACAGCCACGTCTGTATTGGATTAGGAGCTATAGATTCTGAGAAGCTCTTTCTAAGGTCAGGAACTGCCCAGTCAGAACTCAAGAGGACCTCAGAGATCATCTAGTTATTGAGCTAGTTATTTAACCTCCCACTCCATGCCTCAGTTTTCTTCGGTAAAATGGGGATAATAATGAAACCTACTTCATAGTGTTGTTTATGGGCATTAAGTAAGTTAAATGTAAAGTACTAGCTATAATTATATGTGCCAGGCACTGTCCTGACTTTGAGAGCTACTTATCTCTAGTTCAGTAGTCCCTAGTGGTGCCAATGGTTAAGCCCTCTACTACTAAATGAAAGGTTGGCAGCTCAAACCCAGAGGTGCCTTGGAAGACAGGCCTGGTGATCTGCTTCTGAAAGGTCACAGCTTTGAAAACCCCATGGAGCAGTTCTACTCTGCACACATGGGATCACCATGAGTCAGAATTGACTTGATGGCAACTAACAATAACAACAATCCCTAGTTCAACCCACTCAATATCCTCTAAGAAAGACCTTGTTACTCAGAGTGGACCAGCAGCACAGACATCGCATGGAAGTACGACCCATGTGCAGCCGAGTCCAAAGCTGAGCTCTTGAGTCAGGATTTTAATGCATCTCTGTTTATCACCTACAGCTGGGTAACCTTGGGCAAGTTACTTAACTCTTTCATGGATGAATTTTTGTGTGTGTTGAATTTTTTGGTGATGCTATGATTTTTCACTAATGGAATGGATGCTGAATCATTGTTTGTTGGTAGTTTTTTTATTATTTGAAAAATTGGGGTGCCAATTGCAAGCAGGCCATATCACTACCATACTCTATGAAGTATATCACAAGCGTGGTACATATCGGTACCATAGCCCAGGAAGTGCACCACACTATCTGGTTACACTTGAACCAAAAACTATCTTACTCAACTTTCCAAAAAGACACACACAATACTAAATAAACATTGCACTTGCTTCACATAAAATTATCAGTTTGATTTAGAGCGGGCCATATTGGTACCGTTTTCCATGAAGCACATTACGCAGAAATGTGCAGAAAATGTGAGCGGTAAGTTTATCCACTAGAGATCATTAAAGCGTTAACCTCTCTGAATCTCAGTTTACGCACCTGTCGAATGGGATAAACTTCCCAATAAATCCATAGGTGGGCGATGAGATAAATCATGTAAAATGCTTAATATGGTGCCTGACACCTGATAAATGAAAAACAGTCTCTATAGTGGTGAACTTTCTTGTAGGAGTGAGGAAACTGGATTTTTCCTCAGAGCTCCGGGACTCTGGCTTTGACCCTTCTGGCCGTCTATGGTAGAAATGGGTGAAGGAGCTATCCAGAGATGAGGCTGAATTGAAATGGACTAGGGGCCACGATTAGGCTAGGGGTCAGGTTGGGGTTTTGGGGCACCTTTACCTTGTCCTTGGCCTCATTTAGCTGGTCCTCCAGCTCCGAGAAGCTAAAGCTGGAGACAGTGATGAAGTCACTCATGACTGGTACAAACTTGTCATTGGGTTCCCGCACCTGGCGTTTCTGATACTCCAGCTCCTGAGGAGGGAACAGAGGGAGGCTGGTTAGACTGGTGCCTGGTAAGTCAGGAACTCAGGGGTCACTGGTCCCCCACCTTCTTGCCACTCACAGGGCATTGAGCTGCCTTCGGAAGAGGGTAAACCCCATGTCTCCACACTCTAAGAACAGCAAAGACGATGAGAGACCCGCCAGTCCACCCTGTCTATACCCTTCCCTTGCCCTCTACTGCCTCTTCTCTTGGGCCTCAAAGTGTGGTCTGGGACCTGCAGCACCGGTATCCCCTGAGAGCATTAGAAATGCAGAGTCTCAGGCCCCACCCTAGACAGACAGAATGAGAATCTGCATTTTGACAAGGTCCCTGGGTGCTTCCAGTGGAAAATAAAGGTTGAAAAAATATTTATAAAGCTCCCAGGTGATGCTGGTGTTCCATAGACCACACTTTGGGTAGCAAGACTTTACAGCACTATAAGATTGGAAATCGCCACCTCCCAGCCATAGGGGCAACAAAAGATTCTTTCTCATACTTAACCTTATTCTTTTCAGTCCATTCTCCCCTTAATCTGCCTCCCCCAGTGAAGATGGGAAGGGTCTGTAGTTCCTCGGTGTTGGGGACAAAGGGTTGGAGGCATCCCAATCCTGGGCCCACCTACCCACAGTATCAGCTGAGAAGCCATCAGAGCAGGAATAGTGTGGAGTAGAAGCATGGGTCCTCCACTAGCCCAGGAAAGAGGTGAAGAAATTTATGGAAGGAACTGCTGGTAACAGCAGTCCCCACTGGCCTTGTGTGCTACCTGCCCTAGCCAGCTTTAGAGGGGTGTGGGTCCCCTTTCCCATCCACTTGAGTCAAACTGAAGCACGGGGCAGATTTGTAGTTCATTCCTCCCCACTGCCAAACAGATGTCGTGTTTTAGTGACAAGGGTATAGTCTCAGATGTCCTCATTTGGTGGTCTCATTGTAAGCCCCAGATAATCCAGTCACCCTTCCTGAGTGCTGACTCTGCTATAGGCCCTCTGTACCCACTGTGCCAGTTTTTCTATCATGCCAGCGAAGGGCTCTGGGTACCAGAATTGCATCAGACAGGGGCTCTGCTGCCATGAGGCCACCATCTGGCCCAGTGACAGGTAGCAGCAAACAGGCAGCATGACCAGCTTCTGCCTCTGACAGCATCCCCCTCAAACCCAAGCCTGGTGGGCAGAGATAATGTACTCACCACCTCGACTGCTCTGAGGCCCCTCTTGAGGTTGCCCACCTCCTTCTCCAGCTCTGCCAGGCTGTGGGGAGACACGGGGAGGGAGTGGAGTGTCATCAGCTTAGACTTGAGGGGCTGAGAGTACTTCCAGGAGAGGGCAGTGCAAAGCACAACAGCCTGGGAGTCAGTGGACCTGTGCTCCAGCCCTGCTTTGGCCACTGACCTGTGGCCTTGGCCATTCACCTCCCCTCTGTGCCCCCATCTGTGCCTCTATAAAATAACAGGGGTGAAACCACTCTATAGATTCTTCCAGCTCAGAAATGCCACGCTGCACATCACCTCTGGCTTAAATTTACTTATTATTATCATCACCAGGTAATGCTAATAAGCTCTTAACATGGTGCCTTGCAAGCAGTAAGCATTTGACTCATGCTAACCATTTACCAGGGAGCCCTGGTGGTGCAGTGGTTAAGTGCTTGACTGCTAACTGAAGGGTCAGTGGTTGGAACCCACCAGTGGCTCCATGGGAGAAAAGACCTGGCAATCTGTTCCTGTAAAGATTACAGCCTAGAAAACCTACTGGGCAGTTCTACTCCATCCTATAGGGTTGCTATGAGTCAGAATTGACTTGATGGCACACTGCAGCAACAATAACAACAGCCATTTACCACTGCATTCCTGGCTTTACTGTAGATGGCTGTATGTTCAGATCTGTTATCTTGCCGGTAGCAGATGATATTGGTGCCCCACCCATCTCCTTGGGCCACTCCATTGTAGTGCATGGCCCTGACTTCCAACTGTGTAGACACCTTTTCTGGGGGCCATAGACAACTCTATCTGTACCCATAGCCAGAGAGTTATATGCCCTCCCAGTACCCCTCAACCCATGACGACAGGAGATGGTGTATAACTGCTCCAACTCCCTCGCCCCTGGGCAGGGCCACTGGAGTGAGTGTTCTACACTGTCACACAGAGTTACACATGGAATGAAGTTCCAACTTCCCACACTGGTAATTGGCTTAATAACAACACTCTTGTTATTGCTGTTCTTCCCCCATTCCACTACTGGTATTTCCTGGGATCGTCTCTGAAATAAGGATTTGAGGGCAAATAGTGTGTCTTCATTTGGTTCCCCCAGAAGCAGACCCTGAGACACTGCCCAGAGTAGGCCCCGAAGGAGGAAGTCAGACAGGAGTGTGTGTGGTCACAGGGAGAAGGATGTCTTGGAGAGATCCCTCACTTGACTTTGGCGGCTTCTGGAAGATGCTGCAGCTCCGAGGGCATGTTCAGGATGTCAGGGAAATGCTTCTCCAGGATCATGATCAGGTAATGGAGCAGAGAGATGTTTCTGTGGATGGAAGTCAGGTCAGGGGTAAGGGACTGAGGAAATAGGGACTAGGGTCAGAAGGAAACCAGCATGGGGTGTTAGGGGAAGGGGGAAGAGTCTTGGTTCAGGAAATAGGAAGATACAGGGGAGGAAGGGAGAGACCAGGGTGGGGTGAGATGGAGGTTACGGAAGCAGGAGGGGCCCCACCTGTCGATGCTGGACTTGGTGTCAGCAATCTTGTTGAGACTGGCTACCCGGAACCCGTAGGCGCCCCCACGCTGCCCTTTGTTCATGAAGTTTCCAATGGCCAAGATGACCTCTAGCATCTTCTTTAGACGCTTGCTGCGGGTCAGCTCCTGGGAGGCCAGCAAGATGGCTAGGAGGAGGAGGGACAGGTCAGACCCCTACATAGACTGGGCAAGGGTAACGGGTCCCCTTGAATTCTGGGACAATGCCACCACAAAGCTCAGAAAAGGGACTGCCAAGTGTCCTCAACTCTCAGAAGAGCAGAGATTACAGCCACTCATCAGCAGCCCAACCCACTCCACATCCCCACATCCACCTACATCCAAGGAAGCACACTAACTCACCAAATAACCCATTGTCTGAATGTACCAACTCTTCCTAAGAATATATTTGAGGATATCTTTTCTTGCATATATTTAAAGATTATCAATATTTTTTTCTATGCGTATATGCATGGATATAATACATTTACTTTTCTAAACCTGGCAATTAAAATTTTAAATTTCAGCATTTCACCTGCTATGGTATTGTTTATGACTATTTTGAAATACTGTATTTTATTGATTTTTGGGAAAAAAAAATCCCTGTCAATTAAATGATAACATGTCATCAATTATACTATGCATTCTCATATTGTTTTTGTTCTCTATTAGTACCAGTTGCTATGGAGTCAATTGACTCATGGTAACCCCATGTGTTAGAGTAGAACTGTGCTGCATAGGGTTTTCAATGGCTGATTTTTCAAAAGTAGATCACAAGGCCTTTCTTTTGAAGTGCCTCTGGGTGGACTTGAAATGCCAGCCTTTCAGTTAGCGGCTGTGCATGTCAACCACTGCACCACCCAGAGACTCCTTCTAGAAGACAAAGGTGTGCTTTACAGTTGATGGTGTCTTTGCTTTGATAAAATAGGTTTCTTAACATCCTGTTGAATATCAGTTTTTAATTTTTCCGTTCTTTAGGTATTTTAATTATTTATCCCATTGCTTTAAATGATGCATTTGCTACAAATACATATTAAGGCTAACAGTAGCCAAAACTTTAGTATTTCATTCTGATGTGAATGTTCTGGCCTTTCTCAGCTATTATATATTTATGGTGGATGTGCAGAATTGGGATATGAGACTTAAACACTGAAATTTTGGCTACTAGTTATATACTAGATTCATACTTCGTACATTCCACGTTCTGATTATTAATGGATGTTTACAGCTGTTTCGTCTTATTTTGAGTCATGCCACATCAGCAAATGAAGGTCCTGAAAGCTTGACTCCATCCATGTAATTAATGTGGACTCTACTTTGAGGAGGCAGCTCTTCCTCAGTCGTATTTTGAGTGCCCTCTAACCTGAGGGACTCATCTTCCAGAACTATATCAGACAGTGTTCCACTGCTATTCATAAGATTTTCACTGGCTACTTTTTTTCAGAAGTAGACCGCCAGGTCCTTCTTCCTACTTTGTCGTAGCCTGGAAGCTCAGCTGAAACCTATCCGCCATGGGTGACCCTGCTGGTATTTGAATACTGGTGGCATAGCTTCCAGCATCACAGCAACACGCAAGCCCCTACAGTACAACAAGCTGACAGACATGTGCCACCTAAACATCCGTTAATAATTGTAACATGGACTGTATGAAGTATGAATCTAGGAAAACTGGAAATCATCAAAAATGAAATGAAACCCGTGAACATTGATATCCTAGGCATTAGTGAGCTGAAATGGACTGGTATTGGTCATTTTGAATCGGACAATCATACAGTCTACTATGCCAGGAATGACAAATTGAAGAAGAATGGCATTGCATTCATCATCAGAAAGAACATTTCAAGATCTATCCTGAAGTAGAACGCTGTCCGTGATAGCATAATATCCATACACCTACAAGGAAGACCTGTTAATACGACTGTTATTCAAATGTACTCACCAATCACTAAAGCCAAAGATGAAGAAATTGAAGATTTTTACCAACTTCTGCAGTCTGAAATTGATCGAACATGCAATCAGGATGCATTGATAATTACTGGTGATTAGAATACAAAAGTCGGAAACAAAGAAGAAGGATAAATAGTTGGAAAATATGGCCTTGGTGATAGAAATGATGCCAGAGATTGCATGATAGAATTTTGCAAGACCAATGACTTCTTCATTGCAAATACCTTTTTTCAACAACATAAATGGTGACTATACACTTGGACCTTGCTGGATGGAATATACAGGAATCAAATCAACTACATCTGTGAAAAGAGATGATGGAAAAGCTCGATATCATCAGTCAGAACAAGGCCAGGGGCTGACTGCAGAACATACCATCAATTGCTTATAAGCAAGTTCAAGTTGAAGCTGAAGAAAATTAGAACAAGTCCATGAGAGCCAAAGTACAACCTTGAATATATCCCCCATGAATTTAGAGACCATCTCAAGAATAGATTGATGCATTGAACACTAATGGCCAAAGACCAGACGATTTGTGGAATGACATCAAGGACATCATATGAAGAAAGCAAAAGGTCATTAAAAAGACAGGAAAGAAAGAAAAGACCAAAATGGATGTCAGAAGAGACTCTAAAGCTTGCTTTTATACATCAAACAGCTAAAACGAATGGAAGAAATGATAAACTAAAAGATCTGAACAGAAGATTTCAAAGGGTGGCTTAAGAAGACAAAGTAAAGTATTATAATGACCTGTGCAAAGACCTAGAGATAGCAAACCAAAAGGGAAGAACACGTTCAGCATTTCTCAAGCTGAAAAAACTGAGGAAAAAATTCAAGCCTCAAGTTGCCGTACTGAAGGATTCTATGGGCAAAATACTGAACGACGCAGGAAGCATCAAAAGAAGATTGAATACACAGAGTCACCGTACCAAAAAGAATTGGTCAACATTCAGTCATCTCAGGAGGTAGCATATGATCAAGAACCAATGGTACTGAAGGAAGAAGTCCAAGCTGCACTGAAGGCACTGGTGGAAAACAAGTCTCCAGGAATTGACGGAATACCAGTTGAGATGTTTCAACAAATGGATTAGCAGCGCTGGAAGGGCACACTCGTCTATGCCAAGAAATTTGGAAGACAGCTATCTGGCGAACCAGCTGGAAGAGATCCACATTTATGCCTATTCCAAAGAAAAGTGATCCAACTGGATGCGGAAATTATTGAACAGTATCATTAATATAGGATCCCTGGTGGCACAGTGGTTAAGAGCTCAGCTGGTAACCAAAATGTCGGCAGTTCGAATCCTTGGAAACACTATGGGGCAGTTCTACCCTGTCCTGTAGGGTCGCTGTAGTTGGAGTCGACTCAGCGGCAACAGATTTGGTTGTTTTGTTTTGTTTTTATCATTAATATCACATGCAAGTAAAATTTGCTGAAAATCATTCAAAAGCATTTGCAGCAGTACATCAACAGGGAACTGCCAGAAATTCAAGCCGGATTCAGAAGAGGACGTGGAATAAGGGATATCATTGCCGATGTCAGATGGATCCTGGCTGAAAGCAGAGAATACCAGAAAGATGTTTACCTGTGTTATATTGACTATGCAAAGGCATTCATCTGTGTGGATCATGACGAATTATGGATAATATTGCGAAGAATGGGAATTCCAGAAGCTTAATTGTGGTCGTGAGGAACCTGTACATAGATCAAGAGGCAGTCATTCGCAAAGAACAAGGGGATACTACGTGGTTTAAAGTCAGGAAAGGTGTGTGCCAGGGTTGTATCCTTTCATCATACTTATTCAATTTGTATGCTGAGCAAATAATCTGAGAAGCTGGACTATATAAAGAAGAACAGGCATCAGGACTGGAGAAAGACTCATTAACAGCCTGTGTTATGCAGATGACACAACCTTCCTTGCTGAAAGTGAAGAAGACTTGAAGCACATACTGATGAAGATCAAAGACTTCAGTATGGATTACACCTCAACATAAAGAAAACAAAAATCCTCACAACTGGACCAATAAGCAACATCATGACAAACAGAGAAAAAGATTGAAGTTGTCAAGGATTTCATTTTACTTGGATCCACAATCAACACCCATGGAAGCAGCAGTCAAGAAATCAAAAGACACATTGCATTGGGCAAATCTGCTGCAAAAGACTTCTTTAAAGCGTTAAAAAGCAAAGAAGTCACTTTAAGGATTAAGGTGCGCCTGACCCAAGCCATGGTATTTTCGATCGCCTCATATGCATGTGAAAGCTGGGCAATGAATAAGGAAGACTGAAGAATTGATGCCTTTGAGTTATGGTGTTGGTGAAGAATGTTGAATATACCACGGACTGCCAAAAGAACAAACAAATCTGTCTTGGAAGAAGTGCAGCCAGAATGCTCCTTAGAAGCGAGGATAGCAAGACTTGTCTCACATACTTTGGACATGTTATCAGGAGGCACCAGTCCCTGGAGAAGGACATCATGCTTGGTAAAGTAGGGGGTCAGCGAAAAAGAGGAAGACCCTCAGGGAGATGGATTGACACAGTGCCCGCAACAATGGGCCCAAGCACAGCAACAATCATGAGGATGGCGCAGGACCAGGCAGTGTTTTGTTCTGTTGTACATAGGGTGGCTATGAGTCGGAACCGACTCGACAGCATCTAACAACAATAGTTATATACTGTTTAATACACTTTTTCTACGTTAAGTGAGGCAATAAGAAGACTAAGCTATCCTATGATCTTTGGCTGTGCCAAGCCAAACATTCCTTAAAATACTGCCGTGACAACAATAGGAAAACAAATTGACTAGAAGTTTGAAGACATCTTCAAAAGCAGTTAAAAGTAAGTCAGTGTAAAAAAGAAGCTGTAAAAATGTAATGAGTAAGGTTTGTCAGTATCTTCTAAAGTAAAATATATGCATACCCTATGACCTAACCACCCCACTCTAGGTGTTACCCAACAGAAATACATACAAATGTGCACCAAAAGCCATGGACAAAAATGTGCACAACAGTGTTTCTCTTGATGGATATTTAGGTTGGTCCCCGTTTTTTTTTTTTTCCTAAGTTTATGAATAGATTGGATAAATAAATTATGGTATATTCCGCCAATGAAATAAAACACAGCACTGAAAATGAATAAATCACTGTTATATCTCATTGGCCCGAGTGGCACAATGGTTAAGCACTCAGCTGCTAACCAGCAACAGCACTTCATTGGAGAGGAGCCCTAGAGGCGTAATGGTTAAGCGCTAGGCTGCTAACCAAAGGTTGTGGTTCAAACCTACCAGCCACTCAGTGGGGGAAAAGACCTGATGATCTACTTCCATAAAGATTACCACCTAGGAAACCGTATGGGACAGTTTTACTCTATCCTTATAAGGTCACTATAAGTCGGAATCAACTCAACGGCAACAGGTTTGGATTTTTGGTTTATAAGGTCCCTATGAGTCAGAATTGACTCTATGGCACACAATAACAACACAGATCAGTGGAGGCTTACATGTTGCTATGATGCTGAACAGGTTTCAGCAAAGCTTCCAGACTAAGATGGACTAGGAAGAAAGCCCTGGTGATCTACTTACAAAATCAGTCAAAGAAAACCCTATGGAATGGATCACAACGATCCTAATCTACAACTGATCATGGGGATGGTACAGGATGGGGCAGTGTTTCGTTCCTTTGTGCATGGAGGCACCATGAGTGGAAGGCCAACTAACAACTCGTCTCAATAGGGATAACCATAATTGTGCAAAGGAAGCCAGCATAAGAGAATTCTACTGTGTTATACTGTTTATATAAAGTTCAAAAACTGACAAAACTAATCTAGAAGTCAAGATGTCCATTATCTTTAGAGGAGGGAGGAGATAAGTGTTGAGAAGGGGGCATGAAGAAGGGTTCTGAGAGGCTGGAAATGTTCCATTTCTTGGCCTGGGAGTTGATTACACAGGTGGGTTCACTTTGTGGTGATTCATCAGGTAGGTTCTTATGATTTGTGTACTTTTCCATATGTGTGCTATATTTCAATAAAAAACTTTATTAAAAAAATCCTACTTATAAAAGTTTCCAGCAATTTATACTGGTTGGTATAGTTTTTTGAAGGTTGATATGCTATTTAAGATATTTGCAAAGAAATCTTAAAAGTGCTAAAACGTTGGCAAGACAGAAAATGACAAGAGTTCTAAGGAAATCGATATAAATGGGAAAACTGTATGAAATGCTGACATTTTAGTTATATTTGTAAGGCTAATATATTCATGAATATATTCATAAAATATGTTTACATTTGCAGCCATATTCATCTTGGATATATGCAGTGAATACATTCATAATTAGAATCGGTAGATTTAGTACATTCAGCAATGAACATATTCATAAGAAGAATAGAATCAAGAAGAATATGTTCATGAATATATTCATAGAAGAACTGGTAAATTTGGTGAATTTGGTGAACGGGTATTGGTCATTTGACCCAGAGCCCCTGCTGGGTATCAATAGCCCATCAGTCAGCTAGGATACACCAAATCTTAGTTCTTCCAGGAATATTTCCTGAAAAATATTATGGATTATGAATATAAGGATTATGAATTCCAATCCCTGCACAATCCTCTTGCCTTTGGGATTCATAAATATCCTTTTATTTTCTCCAGAAAATATCCCTGGAAGAGCTAAGATTTAGCATATCCCAGCTGGCTGATGAGCTGTTGTCACCCACACCCCAGCAGGGCTCTCGGTCAGTGGATCAAAAGCCAATTCACCAAATGCAACAAATTTACCAATTTTCTATAAATATATTCATGAACATATTCTTCTTGAATCTGTTCTTGTTATGAATATGTTCGTTGCTGAATGTACCAAATTTACTAACCCCCAGTCAGGCACACTCACCTGACTCAATGAAATACAACTACAGCCACTTGTCCCCCACCCACCGCTCGGAGGGAAGAGTCTTCTGGGCCATTCAAGGACAGCAGCCATTGCTATAGCAGAGTGATTATCACTTTTCCCAGTACTTTGCTATGCCAAACACATCTTGCTGTGCTTGACACTAAAGGGAGACTATTTCTTAATTATCCACTGCTAACTCACAGATAACAGGGAGAGTTTAGGAGTGGGCTCCTGGGAGCAGGAAATCAGACGAGATTAAACCTTCCTGGTGACTCAGCTACTCTAGTTCCTCAGCTCCAAATGGCAATTGCTTGCATGTGCTGGACTGATTCCAGACACACAAATAGTTGAGCACGTATGTCTTGGGCTGAACCCCTTATTTGTGCCACATTCTCCAGAGGTAGTCTGTGGCAGGAGAAAAGAAAGTTGTGATGAAGATAAGGATTCACCATCACCAGGGAAGAAGGTGCCTGACAGGCCTTAGAGCTGCAATACCATTGATTCTGACTCATGGTGTCCCTACATGTGACAGAGTAGAACGGTGCTCCACAGGGTTTTCAATAGATGATTTTTCATGAGTAGACTGCCAGACCTTTCTTCCGAGGTGCCTTTGGGTCGACTCAAACCTCCAACCTTTTGGTTAGCAGCCAAGCGCATTAACTGTTTGCACCACCCAGAGACTTCTAGAGCCACAGAGTCACTAATACCTTTCCTCCTCCCACCCTCTCCCTCCACCCTCTAGGCTAAACAGCTATAATCACAGCCAGCAGTTCCCTTGGTGTGTATGTGTGTGTGTGTTGGGGGGGGGGGTGTTTTGAGGGGCAGCAGGGTCCAGATTTCAGAAAACGTCTGGTCCTAGCCCTCTCACGCTCTTGTCTTCCCCACCCTATTCCCAGAATCCTCCCAGCACCAGCTCCTCGGGTTCCAGGAAGGGCCACTCTCTGGACTGGGCATCTTGGGTAGTGCTGACTGGCCCTGGTGTCCAGCAGAGGGGGCCCATGCTCTGCTCTGCCCCAGCCTGTCACCCTCAGCATCTGGGACACAGGCTGTCTTCTTCTACTCTGCTGACCCCATCCTCACCACTAAATGAGCCTCACAGCCTCTCCTGCTTTTCCCCTCTGAGCTCTGCATTTCTGCCCACCATCCTGGCTGCCAGACTTTCCCCACAACTCCCTGCCCCTTCCTGCTCTGCCATTCCCATAGACAGTTCCAGGGAGATACTATCTGGGAACCCGGCGGGACAGGAGCAAAGAGATGGATTTTGAGGAACAACATCTATGGTCCTATTCTGACCCCTGTAATACGACCTCAGGCAACCAGCATACCCCCATTTTAAAGCTGAGTGAACTGAGGCAAACAGATGTTATAACAGCACCCACCAATAGTGTTGTAGTGAGGACCAAATGAGGCTATCCATGTTAGAGTGTTTCCTACAGTGCTCAGCACCTGGTTCTCATTAAATTACAAATTTCCCATCTGAAAAAGGCCTGTGTTGGAGAAGTTTCTCCAACCCCCAAAATCAGATGCTTGCAGGAATCACTTTGCCCAATTTCCTACTTCCTGAATAGCTCATATTTAAAATAATGTGCCAGAGGTGTTCTATGGATTTTTATGGAACTTTATATGGATTAACTCAGTTCCTCTCGTGTGGGGTAAAGACTGATGAGCTCAATACGTGCCAGACACTGTTCTAGGTGTTTGCTATGGTTATCTTCTCAGCATTTCTGTACGCTCCTGGGCAGACATGAACAGATCCCCTACCTGTGTGAATTCCTGTGCTGAGGCATAGGGAATGTGTTACATGGCTGGCACATGTGTTAATATAAACGTGCATACATTTATGATAACGATCATTTTCAAGTTTGTTCTTGACTTTACTTTTTCTTTTGGGGCAGAGGATAAGGAAGCTGCTCTCCCGGCCCCTGCATATCACCTCCCACCATCCTAGCTTTCCAAGATGCCTTCACTCTAAGCCTCCTCCACACCCTCAGCCCTACCTTCTACTTTGGGCTTGGCCTCAGCCAGCCGCTCCTGGAACTTCTTCTTGAAGAAGAGGGCCTGTAGTCGCTGCTGGTAGTGGTCGATCCTGTGGACAAGGTGAGACACGTGGTGAGGTAGCGGCCACCAGCCCCAGCTCCGGGAGCCAGAACCAGCCCCCTATTGAGCCTGCCTAACCTCCTCCCCTTCCTTCTGGGCCGAGCCCCTGTCTGCCCCAAGCCCAGCCCCTCCAGCCACATCTGCTGCCCACCTGCTCATTTCATAAAGGAAGCGGTCAGCACGGGCCATCCGCTCGATCTCATGCTTGTGCTCCTCCAGGAGGTCAATGTCGCTCTTCTCCGGGATGAACTTGAGGAGCTGTGAAGAACAGGTGAAGGTCAGACAGGAAACTAGTGAGAAGCTGAGATGGGGGTGCAGCCCGTGAGAAGCCCAAGCCCCAACCCTACCAAAGATGGGAGGGGGAGCCTCAAAAGAGAGAAGCATCCCCCCACACACTTATTTAATTGAGATATGGCTTATATACAGTGAAGCAGACTACTCTTGAGTATTCAGCTCAATGATTTTTTTATAAATCAATTTTATTGAGATATAACTTACATAAAATAAAATGCACCCATTCTAACTGTGCAGTCCAATGATTTTGTTTGACGAAACTGCCCAGCCACTGAGCCACAATCCAGATCAAGATACATACGATTTCCATCCCATCAGAGAGTTCCCTTTTGCCACTTCAATATGACAACCTGCCCCCAAAATAACCTCTCAACTGAATTATATAACGTGAGATTAATTAGATTTACCTATTCTTGAACTTCATAGAAATGGACTCATGCTGTGTGTTCTCTTTTGTGTCTGGTTTCTTCCACTCAACATAATGTCTGAGATTCATCTGTGTTGTGAGTATTGGTAATTTGTTCTTTTTTTTGTTTTACTGCTAAGTAATATTCTACTGTAAGAATATACCACAAGCTATCTATTCATTTTCCTCTTGGTGGGCAGCTGGATTGTACATAGTTTGGGAGTTCTATAAATACAGTTGTTATAAATATTCTTGTGTATGTCTTTTAGTACTTGGTTCTCTTGGGTATACACCTAGGAGTGGGATTGCAGGGCCATAGAGTAGGTGTATGTTTAGCCTTGTATGCACTGATAAATCCTTTCCCAAAGTCATTGTACCAAAAGACAATTCCAATTGCTTCACATCCTTGCCAAGGCTTGGCATTGTCAGTCTTTTTAATTGTAGCCAATCTGGTGGGTGTCTGGTGCTATCTCATTGTGGTTTTATTGCATTTCTCTGATGACTGATAGCATTGAGCACCTTTTCATTTGCTTATTGGCCATTTGGAAATCCTCTTTTTCTTTATGTTTAAAATTGGATTGATTATCTTTTCTCATTGATTTGTAGACTTCTTTATTCTGGATATGAGATCTTTGCTAGATATATGTACAGGTGGTCCCCAAATTACAACGGGGTTTTGTTCCAATGACTCCATTGTAAGTCAGCTCTGACCTAAGTTGAATACCTTATTTTATTTTGTTTTTTTTTTAGTTTTCATTATTATTGCCTTTTATTATCAGTATCTTTATAAATTCAATCTTTATGTGTCTTTAGGGGTTGGAAACATCTTCGAGTGAACATCTGAGAATGATAACATCAACAAATTATGTACTGCAGCAATGTATATAGTACATCTTACTAGCAATAAGATGTACAACAACAAAAAAGAAAAGGACAATTGTTAAGTCTGGTTTGTCGTAGCTCAAATACATCGTAAGCTGGGGACTACCTGTATTGCAAATTCTTCTTCCAGGGATTGGCCTGCCTTTTCACTCTAGTAATAGTGCCTCTTGAGGAACAGAAGTTCTTAATTTTAATGACGTCTAATTGATGGTGTTTTTGTTTGGTGTTTGAAGGACACAAGTCAGGGTGGGAGAGATTTGGGAAAGATATGATTATAGATCATCCTCATTTTGCTTGAGACTCATGAAGGATAGTACCCCCTAACTCTCTCCAGGGGCCTCAAAGATCCCTGAAAAAGATGCGGCTGTCCTCCTTCCAGAAAGGTTGGCCTGAGGAAGTTTCCAGAAACCTTCTCCCCCAGCCTGATTTCTCCTTGACCTAAGAATCTCAGCCTCTCTGTGAGCTGTTGGGAAGGGTTATGGCTGCTCCCTAGATTCAACTCCCCTTCCTCCCCACCGAGGGTCCTCACCTGCTCCAGCATGTCCTTCGCGAGGTCCTCCTGCTCATCCATCTTCAAGATGGCCTGCCGGATCTCCTCGTTAGAAAGCTTCAGCCTAGGGTAAAACCCCACACTTTGAGCAGCGTGGCCTGGCTCCTCTGCTCAGAATAGACTTCAAACGTCCTTCTCCAGAAAGTACAGCCCAGCCTCCCTCCCTAGTGTCAACTCAGGACTACATTGGACAGTACTCCTCCTTGCCTCCCCTGTGAAGTCTTCTCAGGCTACACTGATATGATTCACTCTGTAGTGAGCTATTTTAGTCTCTAAATAGAGACTCAAGTCTCTCAAGTCTCTTGCTTGAGTTTCCATCAGAGCTGACATGGGGCGTTTGGGAGTAAAAGGGATATCTTCAGTGTGAACTGAAAGACAAAGCAAAATGTTTCTGATCCTTCTCCTCCTCATGCCTTAAAATTCTACAGCATCCTCCACGGGAGAATGGGAAGATCAGCAGGGAACAAAGGGGGCAACTTCCTGCTTCCTTCATTCTTGGAAGATAGAAGAGTCCTCAGTCCTCTGACAGAGTCCCAGCTCCCACACAGCTGTTGCAATCTGTCTTGCTGTCTGGGGGAGTGAGAAGCACTGCCCAGCACACACCCCCCACAGCCCTTCCCTGTCTCCTCCAGACGCACACCCATTGGGATTCCTGGCGATGCAGAACTCACCGCCACCACCCACTGAAAGAAACTGAGGCCTGGGACCGTGTGAGAGGGAGGAGAGGGTGGATGTCCCAGAGGTGGCTGGAGGCAGAACTAAGAATAGTACAGGAGGCAGTACCCTCTGACCCAGGCTTAGGCGGGAGGCCCTGCACAGAAGCCGTGCTGTTAGCGGGGATACTGCCCTGCTTGTTCTGTAGGCCGCGGGAAATGCTTAGGGGCTGAGATCATGCTGTTCTGGGGCCTAAGCTGAGCAGGGCTCTCCACGGGCTTAGAGCAACTCAGCTGCCAGACGCTGACCAGGCTGGCCTCATGATTGGGCAGTTCCCTGTCTGCAGAGCTCCATGCTGCTGCTCAGAGTGGGCTCTGGGGAGAAGGTTCTAAACCAGTGCATCATCTCCCTATTCCCAGGGGACAAAAGAGAGGGAGCCCAGAGACTGCCATCACCCCATTGCTCTGCCGCCTTTCCCCAGGCATTCAGTTCCACCATCTTTTTTTGTTCAAGTTTCATCTCAGGCCTCTGCCCCCAGGAGGGGCCCATTCCCCAGCTACCAGCAACCCATCACAGGGCAGGGACCACAGAGGCAAGGCGAATGCATACTTGGAGAGGAGGATGATGCAGTTCTGGGCCCTCCGGCCATCAATGACAGACAGCTCTTTGACCTTGCGGGAGGCCAGGTAGATGTCCTCGGTGGAGCCCAGCTCTTTCTGCAACCAACAAACCAAGTGGTAAGGTTTAGGTGTGAGTTTTCCCCCATCCACTTTTTGCCTACCCCCCAGAAACCAACACCTTACCAACCTAAGAATGCTCCTGCAGTGAGAGGAAGAGAGAAGGTGAGAGAAAAAGACAGAAGAAAGAGAGGAGGGTGGTTGAGAACCGACTCTAACAGGAGGTATCTGTGACCTTACCACGGGCTAGAATGGGCTGGAAGCCCCGCTTTAGAGATTGTCCTCTCTGAGCAATCTAGGGAAGGGGCTTCTCTGATTGGGGCTGGCTGAACCCTGTGTCTTTGTGCAAGGTGATATGAGCTACCATGTTCCCCATAGAATCAACCCCCACTCCTATCACCCCACTCAAAGAGTCTCCCCAAGCTTAGGATGAGAAGCTGGTTCTAAGCACCCCCATAAGGCCACAGTTCCTGGACTCCAGAGGGTAAAAGGCTTCCACAAGCTCAGAGGTGGGGAAAATGAGGCAGAATTCCATGTGGAATTCTCTCCTTTGGGGTCCCAGCAGGCAGATATCTAAGAAATCAGAGATGTATACCCTTCTCATGGGGCACTGGTGAGGTAGACAGGAGGCTGGTTCTTACTCTGGGAGGTCATTCCAAACAATTCTCCATGTTGCACAACTCCAGGAGGTGCCACTAACATTGTTGTGAATTGTGCCCTGGAATTGTGCAGTGCCCAGCCTGTGCAACCTTACAGGATGGCCCTGCCTTGGGTCTGGTGGCTAAGACAATAGACTTAGAAGTTTTCTCCTTACTCCAGTAGACATTCACTTCCATTGCTGGTAGGGGTCTCTTGTATTACCTCTCTCTTCTACATTTCTTCTCTCTCTCTCTGGGGACCCTCCCCCATGTGAAGATGGGTAATAAGGTAGGAGGTGGAATGGACAAGCCCTCTCTTTAGGACCCTGTACAGGGCAGCATCCCAGGATGGTGGTTAAAAGTTGGGGTGTCCAGAGCCCCAAGAATGACTCACCTGCTGAGGATTAGTTATCAGCTCCTAGGCAGGTAGCAGCCACAGCCAACAGAGAATTAAACATGCACAACATTAGACATGAGGTTCAGGGACCCAGGAACAGCAGGACAGACATGGGATCCCCCAGCATCCACTCTATCAGCCCCATCCCGATGAGACTCCCATGGTTAGAGAGACCCAGAAGTAGCACTGAACAAACATGGCTTCTAGCAGGCATGCAGTCACAGAGAGCCAAACAAAGCACACAACACACAGCTCCTCCCACCCACCTAGGCCCAGTGGGGTCACCCCTCCCAGGTTTGGGCAGATCAGGCCCCTGAGCTCCCCATCCCAAGCCTGGCTGCCAGTTCTTCCCTCTCCTGGGAACCTGCCGAGAGGGTAGAGACATCTCCTCCACCCTGGTATGAGCTCTTCTTTCCAAATAAGGGAGGAGACACAAACGAACTTGAGCTGGAAGCACATGGAAGTTCTGTTCTCTGAGGCAGAGGAAAGCCAGTGTCTCTGGTCTTTACTCTTTGGCCCTTGCCGTCTGTCTGGAAGGGTGCAGGGAAGGAGTGGGAGCCAGCATCCCTGTGTTTGCTCTTTAAGGTGCGCTGAGGGGGCTGAGCCCACACCTGCGTACTACCTTCCTGACCCTGATGGAGGTGCCGCCACTAACTCAGGACCTGCAGTGGGCCCAGAAGGAAGACCACGGCTCCCAGGACCCTCTGCCCCTCATCGCCTACCATGCATCACCCAGGGCCCCAAGTCAGAGAGAGGAGGCAGCACAGCCTCTGGGATCTCTCCAGCTCTGCTGCTGTGAATTCAGTCCCGGAGACTGGATGACCAAATGACAGTGCTCTGGGTGAGTCCAGCCCTGAAACAGGGGGTTAGACTGAGTGGGCTCTGAGAGGCGAGGGGGGAGAGAACAGCTCTTCTCAACTCACCAAACTGGGAGGCCCAAGACCCAGCTTGTCCTAAACTCCACACCCCCTTTTACCCCACTGGCCCCCATCCGAGCCCCACCTCAGGGCCCAGGGCTAGAGCCCTGGCCTGGAGGAAGACTCTCCAAGCAGGGGTAGGTGTGTGAGGTGGGCTGTGCCCTATACACCCTTGCACATACTCCCTCTATCACCCAGCACCCACTCGAGACACTCACTCAGGGTGCACGGATTCACAGAAGCCGAATGCTCAGAAGAGCTCTTTCCAGCTCCAGCTGGGCCTTAGCTGCTGCCTCTGGTCATGCCAGCTTAATGTGAGTGTGGGGCTAAAAGTGTTTCTTGGAATTAGGGTGGAGAATCAGATTCCTTGGGTCCCCACACCTAAATGAAATGAACAATTATCTGGTTTTTCTAGAACCCCAAGACAGGACCAGTGTCTAACTCCTCACCCCAATACACATATGGCCAATGCTCTAGAAATAACTGGATCTGTCCTCAGTCCTGTCTGCTCTCAGGAAGGTCCTCCACAGGTCTGGACTTGGCCAAAAACTGGGTAGGCACCTCTCCAGACCAGTAGGTGCCATGACACAATGTCCAAGAGCTGCCCGGGGCCCAGGAGGGCACAGACTCCATTTATTGGCACCTGAGGAAGTCCCCAAGGCTGGAACCCTAGTCTGAGCAGAGAAAACAAAGGAGAAAATGAGACAACCCAGAGAGTAAACAGCCCCTCTGAGGCAGGCCGGAGAGAAGGCAAGTACCCCGGGACATCTAGGTTGGTAATTCCCAAACCGGACTCTGGAGAAAGGTCCCCGGGTGTGCTACTGACAATGCAGATTCATGAGCCCCAGCTCTCCACCTGAATCATAGGAGGATGAGGTCTGAGAATCAGCATTTTTGGCAATTTTGTGGGTACCCAGCATAGTTTGAGACCCCTGCCTTGGGAATGTCCCGTATTCTGCCACCAACCCCAGTCCCCCTACTTGCTCTGTGGCTGGAAGACCAGACTTGATGGCCAGCCACATGCACATAGTGCCTGTAGAGCAAAGACCAGGGTCTATCCAGGGCCTTCTCAGAGCCCAGCCCAGCCTCAGCCCCCACAAGTGGCTTGGAGCAGCATCATCATCCTGGGAACATTAGCATCTTCTGCTCAGCTGACTCATGGGGGTATTGGAAGATTAGAGTATGGTGGAAAAAGTGATGTGAAAAGCTATAATGCCTTCTAGGTGTGGTCCCTAAATCCTAGGGCCAAAAAAAGAGCAGGGGTCCACAGTGGTCAGGGTCTGCGACTCCTTCTCCAGTGCCCCAGGATGAAAACAGAAATGGACAAAATGCTATTTCATCACTTCGTGTGTAATTATAAACTAATTCAGTGGCATGTTTCCCTTCACTGGACTTCACACTTCTAATTCGTATCGACATCCTCAACAAATAACATGGAAGGAAGGGCGGGAGGGAGGAAGGAAGGATAGAAGGAAGGAAGGAAAAAGGCCAGAAAGGGAGTTAGGTTTGGGTTCAAGGCATATGTGTGGAAGTCAAGGCAGAAAAAGGAGGTAACACATGGCCCAAGAGGCCAGAGGGGATGAGGTCTTACCTGATGCCTCTGATAGGCTGAAAACATTTTTTCAAAATCCTCTAGGTCCAGAATCCGAAATACCTGCATGTCATCAATCTCATTCCATACAGTACCAGGGACACGTTCCTAGGATTCAGGTAAGAGAGAAGACGCCGTGGGTGACCTTCATTATGGAGCCACCCAATACCTCCCTGACCCCACCTGTCCCCCTAACTGCACGTACTACAAGGGACAGGCTATTAGACATTCAGAAGGGGGTCAGTTTCTCCCCTCAAACCTCCACCATCCTTGAGAAAGTGGTATGAAAATTTTCTCCTCCGGGATGAAAGTCAATGACAGACTTCTTCTCCCTTTTGTGTGGGGCCACATGTAGGCATGTTCTGGAAATCAATGGGAGAGCTGGAGTGATGGGTGGGCACGTACGAAACGGGGTGCACTACACTCCTTTTGGAAAAACAAACAAACAGTGCTCTCAGAACACAGGCCCCCTCTCCCCAAAGGCTAGGGTCTGCTGGGAGGTGACTCCAATCATTGGCTGGAATCATTGGAAGGAATAGTGCCCACACATATTTGGGATGCTCAAAGCCTCATTGCAGAATATATTTCATTTATCTTAGATCATTGTTTTCTCTCCCAATGGTCTTCCTTCCACTTTGCCAGATTCGCAGAAAGTGGGCAAATGCCAAAGTTTGGGACATCCTGGCCTCTGCAGTAACGCTGCTCAGACCAGCAAGACCCTGCCACTATTTCCCACTGGTCAGACCCAGGGAAGGTGTTCCCATCCTTTATGATTGGGATGGGCTCAGAGTTTTATATTTCAAGGTCTTTCAGCTTAGTTTCTCAACTCTCTGTGTAAAACCCTTGGGCTGAATATCTATCCCAGGGATCCAGGAAGGAGCTGTTAGCCAAGCCGGAAAACATGCCCCTAGTTTTGTAAAAAGGAGCCCTAGTGGCACAGTGGTTAAGCGCTCAGCTTCTAACCAAAAGGTCGGTGGTTTGAACCCACCAGCCGCTCTGCTGGAGAAAGATGTGGCAGTTGGCTTCCGTAAAGATTACAGCCTTGGAAACCCTATGGGGCAGTTCCACTTTGTCACATGGAGTCCCTATGAGTTGGAATCGACTTGACAGCAACAAGTTTGATTTGTTGATTTAGTTTTATAAAATCAGACGATGGCTTAGAGAGCTAGAGGAGACTGGGCAGTGGCTAGTGACAAGGGGAGTGGTGTCCTTAGAGCTCGGAAAGCAGAGCCCCTCCCAGTGTGTTCCACCCCTCCTAGGAGTCCTCAATGAGCCCAGAGCTTTGCTGTCCTTTACAACATAATCTCCTGTGCCTTTCTCTGCCTGGGGCGGGCAGGGGGAGTGTGGGAGGGGGGCAGCCAGAGAACCTTCTTAATGCCTCCTCCTCCTTTCTACATCTCTCCCTCAGCAAGAGAAACATACCTTTCACTCACTTTTATTTTCTTAAACTCTGGAAAGGGGTGGCTAGGCCAGAATGGGGGGTGGGGACATTCCTGTGGCCTTCCCAAGGCCAGGGACCCTCTTGTGGAATGCCGGGCTGGGAAGCTCAGAGCAGCAAGGGATACAGGCAACTGGCCAAACCTAACACAGACACATTCTTTTCATGGCAGAAATAACTAGTGTGTGTGCGTGTGAGTATGCATGAGTGAGTGTGCGTGTCTACACACACAGGAGCATGCGTGGGGTAGGGGAGGGTACTAGGGAGAGGTACGTGGGAGGCAGAGAGAAGATGGGAAGGAGAATGGAATCTGAGAGGGCAAGGAGGGGTGATGACTGAAGCAGTGTGGGGTGCGGAGTGACCCCAGTTTGCTCTGTGGGAAACTCCTACCTCATTCTCCAGCTAAATCCAGACTTGGGTGGAGGCAGGGGTGGGTGGTGGGGGAGGGGGTGTGGGAAGGCCACTAAGGTAAAGCTCCTGAGGCCAGGATGAGATGAAAAACGCTGGACATTCAACACTGGGAAGAATCTCCCACAAGACAATGGACTTTGCATCCCGACTCTTCCTCACTTCCTTCCAGACATGCTCCCCCCACCCCACCTAGATTCTCCACCTTTGCCAGAGGGACCCGAGGGTCTTTGTGGAGGTGTAACTGACGTCTGGAGCCAGAGATACGTCTATTCCAATTATTCTCCACATCCTAGATTTCACCAAGTCTCCTTGATATGCCCATCTTGTGTAATAATTCTCGGATTTAATTTTTGCAACACTTTGCCCAAGGCCCATCACCTCTAGCCTAGATTCCTGAACCTTCTTTTCCTCTAGAGGCATGTTTATATGCCAGCGGCATCGTTCTCAAAAGCACATTTCATTCTGTTTCCCTTGTAGAGTATTTCCTTTGGGGTCAGAGTGGCTAGGGTGAACCCCCTGCCCCACCACTCTGTGGGACTGTGGGCAAATGGAGTCTCACTACGCTTGTCCCATTTCACATAAAAGAAACTGAGGTTCAGTGATGTTTATCTCTATGAGTTGATTAAGTGGGATAACACATTAAGGCACCACTAATACTAGTACCACTAATAATAATGAACTTAATGTTAAGACTTTCCATATGTCAGTTGGAGCCCTGGTGTTGCAGTGGTTAAGTGCTCAGCTGTCCCTATTCCAAGTACGTACAGGTATTAGGTCAATGAAACCCCATGACAATCCTATGAGATGAAAATTATTATTATCCTCATTTTACAGATCAGGAACTTGAAGCTCAAACGATTAAATAACCTGCCCTTGGTCACACATTAAAAATTTAACCAGTACCCAGTTGCCATCGAGTCAGTTCCGACTCATGGCAGCCCACTTGTTTCAGAGTAGAACTGTGTTCCATGGGGTTTTCAATGGCTGATTTTTCAGAAGTAGATCACCAAGCCTGTCTTCTGAGGTGCCTCTGGGTAGACTTGAACTTCCAGATCTTTTGGTTAGCAGTCAAGTGCACTAACCATTTGCACCACTCAGGGACTCTGTTAAAAGTTTGTTGCTGTTGTTAGGTGCTGTCGAGTAAGTTCCAACTCATAGTGACACCATGTAAAACAGAAGGAAACGCTGCCCGGTCCTGTACCATCCTCTCAATCGTTGTTATGTTTGAGCTCATTGTTGTAGCCACTGTGTCCATCTTGTGGAGGGTCTTCCTGTTTTTCGCTGACCCTCCACTTTACCAAGCATGATGTCCACCAGGGACTGGTCCCTCCTGATAACATGCGCAAAGTACTTGAGACGAAGTCTCGCCATCCTCCCTTCTAAGGAGCACCCTGGCTGTACTTCTTCAGAGACAGATTTGATCGTTCTTCTGGAAGTCCATGGTATATTCAGTATTCTTCGCCAACACCACAATTGAAAGGCATCAATTCTTCTTTGGTATTCCTTATTTATTGTCCAGCTTTCGCATGCATACGCGGTTAAATGTTTAGGGTTGGGATAATAGGTTCTCAAATACTACTTGATGCTCCCTACCCCCGCCCTTCACTCCTGTGGAGAAATGCCTACAGCCCATCCAAAAGCTCCCCATTGCCTATTCTATCAAACCTACACATTTCAGTTTAGCAATGAAGCTCCAGCTTACTCTGGGGCCCTGGGGAATTTATATCAGTTTTATTATTAGTGTGCCCCCAGAGAATATCCCATTAAACACAAACCTCCATATGATGAAAACACTGCAAAAATCTTAGTTGCTTTGTCTCCCTTCCCTAATTGTTGGTGTGCCCAGTCAACTTTTCATGCAGTTGAAAACAAAGCGATATTGTATCTGATCATGAATAATGAACATTTCCACATAGCCCATGGACTTTGCTTCTGCAGAGCTGTTTTGCCCGCTCCTATGCAGTGGGCCTTTTTGGTCTTCCACAGGGCATCGCTGTGTAGTATAGGTGTTGCAGACTTTAACAATCTTGCTTCCAAATGCTGCTAACAGGTGGCTTTACAATGCTAATAACACAAATTGGAGATGTTATCAGAGGCCCAGGAGACTATGAATGAGCTGGATTTAAGCCCTGTCTCTCCACCTAGATTACCAATCAGAGGCAGAGGGAATCTTAGAGATCATATCACAGACCAGAGGAGCAAACTGAGATAGAGACAAGATAAGAGATTTCTACAGGCCACACAGCTGGTTAGGCCTAGTTAGGGCTTTGGTTAGTGGTTAGAGCCTCTCCTTCAACCCATCCCCAGGGTCTCTAGGTGTTTCCTTGAAAACATTTCCTAATTTGTCAGATCCTGATGTAGTGCGAGCAGTTAAGTGCTTGGCTGTTAAGTGAAAGGTTGGCTATTGAAGTCCACCCAGAGGTGCCTTGGAAGGAAGAGCTGGCAATCTACTTCTGAAAAACCAGCCATTAAAAACCTTATGGAGCACACACATGGTGTCAGGGATGACCTGACCTAACTGATGTGTGTTTTGGTTAACCTCTTGTAGGGTAATGTTGTGTCTTACCTTTTATTATTATCCATTATGTCCCCCAGCAAGGTCTTTACATAAAGCTGACCTCAGACTAGCTGGTCTGCTGTTGGGAGAAGGTGACTGACCACCTACTTCACTTAACAATCTCCAGTCTCCTCCTACTAAGTCTCCATTTGAGCTCACATTTCAGCTCAAAGAGAACGATACAGTCAGGAATTCCACAAGACTAAGTCCAACGGGCCCATGTAACAAGGTCATGGTGGATTCATTAGTCCCAGCTCCAAACTGATGTCTGCAGGACTGGTGTTGCAGTGTGGGTGTGGGTCAAGCTAACTGCAGCCAGTTGCCACTGTATTTGGCCAGGCATGTGTTTACCTCAGGGTCAAAGCCACTGGTCCTCTTAACAAAACAAAACAAAAAACATCAAAACCAGTTGCCATCGAGTCAACTCTGACTCATGACGACCCCATGTGTGTCAGAGTAGAATTGCACTCCATAGAGTTTTCAATGGCTGTGACCTTTTAGGGAGCCCTGGTGGCACAGTGGTTAAGAGCTACAACTGCTAACCAAAAGGTTGGCAGTTGGAATCCACCAGCCGCTCCTTGGAAACCTTATGGGGCAGTTCTACTCTGTCCTATAAAATTGCTATGAGTTGGAATCAACTTGACAGCAATGAGTTTGGTTTGGTTTTGGTGACCGTTTGGAAGTTAGCACCTCTGGGTGGACGTGAGCTGCCAACCTTTCAGTTAGTAGATGAGCACTTAACCATTTGCGCCACCCAGGGAACTCCTGGTCCTCTTAATACCCAAACCCAAACCCACTACTGTCAAGTCAATTCCAACTCATAGCAACCCTACACTACAGAGTAGAACTTCCGCTCAGGGTTTCCAGGGCTATAAATCTTTACAGAAGCAGACTGCCACATCTTTCTCCCGTGGAGCAGCAGGTAGTTTCAAACCACCGACCTTTCAGTTAGCAGCCAAGTGCTTTAACCACTGTACCACCAGGGCTCCCTCAGTCCTTTTAAATAGGACTTGCCAATTTACAGAACTAGAGGTAGGGGTTAGCTGAGGTTAGAATTGGCCTTCAATTACTGGGGTCTAATGAGACTCAGGGCATCTTTACTTTTATGCTCATGAGAGTCTGGGAGAGGAATCAGCTCCCACACTTGGATGTGGGAATGGTGATTATTATTGGATAAAACTCATGAGGGTCTCTCACTGCTGATCTAAGAAATGTGGCCAGTGCTGTGCATCTTCCGCTGGGGAGGATGTCTAAGAGTGACTTGGTTGCATCTTGACACCAAACTCTTCATTGCAAGGACTCCAGGGCCTCAGCACCCTGGCCTTGTTACTCCCTGACATGGCTTCATTGATTTTTACCATCTCTAGAACTCGGTCCAAGCTCTACTACATTTTCCACTCTCTTCCCCAACTTCACCTTGACCTTGAATTTTCAGAGTTGGTTGCTTGGCCCATCCCTCACTCCACTAACCCTCAGCACACACAAATCACAAATTCCATTTGTAGGTGGCTTTGCTACTGTAATAATTACCAGGTGCCAAGCATTTTCTCCCAGTGTAGATGTTACCCCTAGTGAAGATGGAGCTGCCTAGCATCAGCAACCCCATCTGCTATAGCCACTGTGTCCACCCTTACCCTCCACCAAAGAAGGAACCTAGTATGGTGATCTGTAAACAATGGTCCATCAATCCAGGGGCTGATGGCTACTGGCTGTAGGAGAATGGACCCACTGACCCCATCCTAGTTACTCACCTCATTCAGCTTGACCCAGTTGAAGGATTTCAGTGGGTGGGAAGGCTGGGGAACATGTTTCTTCCTGAGTGGGGCATCACTGCTAGGGAAGGGGTCCGGTGGATGGGGCAGGCCCATGCTGAAGCAAGGTGGGGCGCCTGGGGGAGTGGGAGGCCCACCAGGTAGAAGGGGTGGTGGTGGTGGTGGGGGGCAGCAGGCAAAAGGTAGAGGGGGTGGGGGTGGAGGCAGGTCATTGGTTATCATCAAGGAAGACAAGGCAAGTGGGCCCCCAGGGGGAGGCGGAGAGGATACAGGGCCTGTCTGTGGGGAGACAGAAAAATCAGAAGACAAAGCCATCAGTAATGATGCCATTCAGATCCCTTGCCACTATTCCTTACTCTCAATTTCCATGTATACTACCCCCCAAATCCTGCTATCACCTCCCACACACATTTAGTCCCCCTGCTTTCTCTCTCTGCATCCCAAGCACCCAACACACACACACACAGACACAACCACAGACGGACAGGCATACATTCAAACACACACACAGACACTGGACAATTAGTCATAGTCATCACAATGTACCAGCAGGGTCGATACATACAGTTGTGTAGGTTGCTGACTGCATGATGGCATCCAGCTGACAGGGTGAGGGGGAGCCAAAATCCTACCTGCACTCTGCTTTGCAAGGTATGCTTCCTGGGACAGTGTCACCCAGAGAAGGAGCATTACTTTTTCTAATTAACACAAACGTGCCATCTAGACTACTGGGGGACACGGTCAGCCCTTACAGCCTCAGGGGTCTGGGTCCCCTCTATCCTGGCCTGAAGTCTCCCTCTCTCTTCTACCTCACTCTAGGATCCTTGACCCCTCCCCACACCTGCTTTGCCCAACTCTGCGTGGAAGCTCAGGGTCTCAGTTCAACTATGTGAAAGGGAAAAGGGTGCCCGCGTACTGAGATTTCACTGAGTTGGGCTACCAGCTCTGCCACTTGTCCCCGAGCCTGGCGTAGCTCCTGGGACTCTCGGGCCAGCTTGTCCTTCATCTTGTTCAGTGTTCGCATCATCTCTTCCTTCTCCAACGTCTTTGTCTCGCATTCCCTCTCCTTCCTCTCCAGCCGGCTCGCTAGCTCCGTGTGTTCTGGGGTGGGGGTGGGACAGGAGAGGAAATGGGAAGAGAGAGCATGAGTATGTGTGTGTATTCATCTCCATGGGAGGATATGGGGTCCTAGGCTGGGCAGGCCGGGGGTGGTAGAGCATGCAGGAGGTTTAGGCAGAACCCCTCACCTTTCCGGAACTTCTCAGCCTGTTCTCGCCACTGTTTCACTTCATTCTCATTGATGAGCCTGGGGACAGAGGGGAGGAGGCAGTATGACTGTTGACCATCTGCTCAGTTTCCGAGCAGACATGTCATCTCCCCACTCTGGTACCCTGATTACCAATCTTTCCTGCCACAGCTGGAGGCTAGGATTTTAACTCCCCAGATGGCTCTCCGGGTCTCCACCCCTGCCCAGTCCTCATAATGTGTCTCTCTTTGGACTATGAGAGCTGAAAGAACCCTCAGATTCCTGGTTCCAACCCCTTTGTGATACAGTTGAGGCTCAGAGACCAGAGACAGGAATAATAGCTAATTAATTGTAGAACTAGGACTAAATCTCAGGCTTCCCTTAGTTGTATAATGACTTGTACCCCTTTGTAAAAATAGGTTTTTGCAGCTGAGAGAGAAAAACATTGGCCCTACGGTGGTCCAGATTTCCAGGTCCAGCAAAGACCAATCTGTAAGAGCAAAAGAAATTGCCCCGCATCCCATAACACAGGATGTTGAGGGTAAAGAAGGGACATATCTGAAACATTCATGTAAACTCTTGCAACAGGGTGTTAAAATTAAGCTTTCATCTCCATACCAAGGTATAAAAGAGAGGGGAAATCCCAAAGTGAGATCCCAATGATGATTTCTTTGTAAATCTGAAATGTGAAGAGTCAGATCCATGACTCTTGGCTTCTCAACCTAATCAAGGTTCTAAAGAAGGGGCAGAGTATGGAGAGGGAGGAGTATTTTGTGAAGAGTATTCTTTGGAGAGAGCCACTGTCAACCTCCCCGGGGGTTTGGGGGGCTACCACCGCCCTAATGAAGGGGCTTCTTTGGGCCACCCAGAGAGTTTTGACTCATATGCCCCAACATTGGGAGGGAGGCATGGTGGACTGGGATCTGACTTGGGGCCAGGTAAATCCAGAAGGCGAAGGACTGATCAGGAGAGCACTGCTATGCTGGGCTCTGCTAGCACTCCCAGAGGCTGTTAGAGCAAGAGATGGCATGAGGGTTTCCCACAGGCCAGATGGAAGCCTTGTGGAGGAATTGGGCTAAAGCTATTTTAAGTCCTGCCCAAGAGGTCCACCTGGAAGAAAACTGGGACTATAAACACTGTAAGTCTGTGTGCACTGGATCGTCAGTGAGCCAGGGGCTGACAGAAGGGATGGAAGCAGCCAGTCAGCTGGGGAAAAAAACAAAACAGCTGGCATGACCAGTGACCTGAGTTTTGCAAAGAGACACACACAAAGGAAGAATGCAATCACGTGTCTTCACCCATGTGCCAAGAGAATGCGAAGCCTGCTTGCTAAGTCCCCAGATCAAGTAAAATTTTTTCCCTTTCCTTCCTGCCCCCATGCTGCCTCTGGAGAAACTGGTTAGCTAGTGAGAAGGGGAGTGGTAAAAGGGGTTAGAGGAGGGACTGAGCAGAGAAAAGAAACCATCCATTACACACACGCACACATACCTTCCCACTGTAGCCTCCCAGTCCCAGCTGGGGGAGGAGAGAAATTTAAGGCTAAATCAAGTCTAGAATGTTGATTCACATCTGGGATTAGTCCTTCTCAGATTTGAGACTATGTTGACAGCTTAGAGTGACCTAAGACTTCTATTACCCAGAAAGGACCAAATATGTCATTGGGCCTGAGAAGTTTTCATCCTTTGGCCGAGGAAAATTCTCCCCACTAAATAGTGTAAGGAATTATAGGAAACAAAAATGAAACCACGTTTTGATTACTTTACTGGTTGCACTTGGTCAACATACTAGTTAGGACTTTAACTAGATCAACAGCCAATTGTCTGTGCTAATGAAAACAGTTCAGAAGTTGTTTCTTCCTTGGCTTTGGAATGCAAAATAATGAATCATTTAGAGCCAATTTACCTCCTTAAGGGTAGTTGGCTCAGACTCATACTGAAAGTTAAATGAAGGCTTAAAATTAAAAATCAGTGTGTTAATGTAAGGCCTTATTATAAATTGATGTGCTTTTAAATGTTTTTTTCTGTGTTTCCCTAAACCCAGAGTTAGAAAAACATGATAAGTCAGAAGGCCTTAGGCTCTGACATGCCTTGTCCTCATGTTCAGTGGTTGGCAAATTTTCTGTAAAGGATCAGAGAGTAAATATTTTAGGTTTTGCAGACCACATACAGTCTCTGAGGCATTTTCTTGTTGTTCATTTGTTTGTAACAATACTTTAAGAACGTAAAAGCTCTTCTTAGCTCTGGAGCTATACAAAAACCAGCTGGTGGATCAGATTTAGCCCACTGACCATAGTTTTCTGACCCTTGCTGACCCTTGCTTTATGTTAACGCATTTAAATCCCCTCTGTAGCCAATCCATGCAGTAGGTTATTGAGAGTTAGTTACACACCCTATAAACCTGTGCTGTCCAGTGTGGTATCCATTAGTCACAGGCCCTGTGGCTATTTAGATTTAAATTGATTAAAATTAGAAATTCAGTTCCTCATTCAAATTAGCCACATGACAAATGCTCCATAACCACATGTGGCTAGTGGCTACCACATTGGATACCACAGATAAGAAGCATATCTATTATCTCAAAGAGTTCTGTTGGACAGCGCTGCTCAGAATCCGTTTGTGAGTGTCTGGTTTGAGAGAGGTGTCCCTGGGTGGAACAAATGATTAATGTGCTTAGCTGTTAAATGAAAGGTTGGAGATTTGCTTCCACCCAGAGATACCTAAAAAGAAACGCCTGGTGACTAGTTCTGAAAAACTAGTCACCCAGACTCTTATGGAGCAAAGTCCTACTCTGACACATGTGGAGTTACCATGAGTTGAATCGACTCTAGAGCAATGAGTCTGATTTGAGAGAGAGAGAGCTGAGGTTTCATGGGTGAGACCCAGTGTGGGAGAGAGTTGGGGAAGGAGGAGGAGGACAGGGTGCAGGCTGATCACTGCTCACATGTTGACAATGTTCTTGACGTTGAAGTTCTCCAGTGGCGCCAGGTCAGGGTCCACGCCCCTCTCATCCTGGAGGACAATCTGCTGGAGGATGCGGTCCAGGAGCTGCCACTGCTGGAAGTAGCCGCCATTCCGCTTATCTGAGGGGTGACAGGCATTATCTTCTTACTGGGGCCCTTTAGATCCCCAGAGCCCCCTGGAGCCCTGTCCCAGAGTCACTGCCTGGGCCCAGACTGGTGAAGTAATCCCTTCCCCATCTTTGGCAACCTCCCAGTCTGATGGGAGAGACAGTACAGTTACAGCTGATGAAGATTCACAAATCCAGTCATGTCTTGATTATCTGCAACTGATCTTCTATGTATGTGTCAACCCTTCTGACATATTTCTCTATTCTCAGGAATCCTTCCTGGCTGTCTTTCCTCCCTGTTTGGACTCTGGACATCCTATGTCCTGGGAATGCAAATTGCTTTTTACATTAACTAAAAAAAAATAAAATAAAATTAAAAAAGCACTGTTAGGAAAGTAAATCTGCTCTAAAATATTACATGCTGAATAATGAAGTCTCTAGGGAAATTTTTAAAAAGGTTAGGATTATCTATGCTACTGCTCTACAGAGGAAGATGAATGGGAAATAATTGCAGGTGTGCTCTGAGAGGGAGTCAGAATGGGTTAGAGAAATGATTCGTGGAATCCAGGAATCTGGATTCTGGTGGAGGTGACCTTGAACTATGAGGGCAAAGGCATCACATGATGTGCTTGATCTCACAGCGACCTAGTCTATCTCCCTCTAATGACAGTCTGGATGACAGACACAAGTCTCCTCTTTTGGTTCTGTATCCCAATAGCTTTGTCTCTACTGGTCAGCAAGGGAGGTCAACCATGAGGATTTTTACATCAAAGTCAAAACATAATGCCTTCTTGGTGGAAGGTCATGTCCACAAAGCACCACTTGGGGGCAAAACAGAGGGACCTCTTCACATTGCCCCATGGAACACCAGGCATGGGAACCCCTGGGAGCAGAAGTCATGTTTCCCAGAGTCTTCCCATGTCTCCCATGAAGACCTTCTGGGCTGAGTTTTGGAGAACTGATAGCTTCCTGGTCCACACTGCAGTGTCTAGCTTCCTTTCCACCACTCCACCCAACACAAGCCTTGCAAGGTGACACATTTTTCCATTTGCCTCTCACCCAGGAAAACTGGGTAAACATGTTTCATCAAAAGCCCTGACCGCAAAGAAATGAAAACCTCCTTCATTTATAAAGAATAGTCTCAGCTCCAGGTTCAGTCACTGTAAAATGGAATAATAATACACACCCCTTAGGCCATTTTGAGGTTTAGAGATGATGTGGTAAAGGACCTTGCATCATGCCTGGCCCAGAGTTGGCACTCAATAAATTGTGGTTATTGTCACCATCACCATGATTACCAACACCACCATCATCATCACTAAAGAGACTCTTTCTAGGTTGACCATTACAGTGGACCATACTAATTTTCAAAATATTGTGTTTTGTGAACAGCTTTAATACCAAATGGTGCAGTTATAGCTTATTTCAAATTGTATTTTCAGGTGGCTATTAGTAGTTATAAGTAATTCATTCAATCACTAGGTATATCTGGGTCTTAAGATCTTATCCACCTGGTCCTGTAGTCACTGATGTTTGGTATTTGTAGAGAGAGGCAGTGATAAAGGAGATATGATCGGCAGTCAGCAAGGACCAGACGGAGGAGTAGATAAAACACTTAAAAAGGCATGCTCATTCCACATCTGTGTCACTCCCCCAGGCACAAAACTTCTTTTTGGAAGTCCCCAAGAGGACTGATCACTCCCTTGTCGTGAGCTGACAGCTGGAACAGTTTGATTCTGAAAATGCAAAGATCAACCTACTGCTCATTGTCCTGGGATGTTGGCGTTGCTGGGGCCAAGTCCCAGCTCCTCCCCTGGGTGACAGTAGAAGCTGCTCTATTTTGCTAACCTCAAGAAGAGAGGGAAACGCTGGGACCTGAGTCCTGTGGTCTGGCCTCCCAATGGGGGCTCACCCACCCAGTGGGCTCTGCAGCCTTGTCTCAGCCTGCCCAGAGAGCCAGGGCTCATGGGTCTGGCTAAGAAGTGGCAAGTGCAGGGGACTCACAGGGCATTTGCAGGCAGTGGTGCAGGACAGAGAGCAGGCAGGGGTAGGCCTCGGTGTATTTCAGCTTCTTGTGGATCAGCTCAAACATCTGGGATGCACTCTTGGTGTCAATGTGGACCTGGGGAAACACAGGGGAGGCAGTTAACAGGGAGCAGGGAAGGGAGAGGAGGAAGAGAACCAGGGAGAGAAGGTCCCATTCGCATCCACTGAGCCCATCTCCCAGGAGAGCTTTCCTTCCCCTGCCTCTGTCCAGCTTAAAGAGAGAGAATGAGAAAAGAAGGAAGGCAGTGTGTTAATCATATAGACCAGGGTTCCCTAATCTTGGCACTACCAGCATCTGTGACTGGATAAGTCTTTGTTGTAGGGCTGTGCTGGGGATTGCAGAATGTTCAGCAGCACCTACTCTGGCCTCTACTCACTAGATGCCAGTAGCACCCTCCCAAGCTATGACAGCCAAAAATGCTCCAAACATTGAGAGATGGCCCTGGGGTGGGGGGAGGGGAGGGAATTGCCCCTGACTGATAACTACTGATCCAATCTAAGGGAAGGAAGCAGGGGCATAGATGGCTCAAAGTAGCAAGCGGCACAGGTGAAAAGGGCACTTTATCTGAGGCCCAGAAACGTGGGTTCATATCCTGTTGTCTACTTGTGTGACAACAGACAAGCTGCTTAACCTCTCTGACCTCAGTTTCTTCATCTGTAAATCCAGGGCTTTTGTGATACAATGGGTAGTGCCTTGCGACTATGAAGCACTAGCCGAAAGCAGATTTTTATTTGGATAGGGATTTTATAATGTAATTTTTAGGCAGCAGAGTTGTGTGTTTTCATGGCTAAAATGAAAATATGGTTTGGTTTGCTAAGCATGATGTATGTGGTTAGTGATGGGGAGAGTTGACTCAGAGAATTATACTTGATTAGTCACAAATGCCTCTCCTGGGCTGATCCCATAGGGAGACTAATCAAGTATAAGCACTAGTTCCCTTTCTCTTGGGGGCTGCAGTCTCCTTTCCTTGAAGGCAGATGCTGAGAGCACAGAAGCCCATCAGGTGAGGCCCTCCAGGTAACGTCTGCCCACCAGAGCCAGCATACTGCCAGAGCTCCAGAAACAAGACCCGGCCATGGAGGGGCACCCACCAGGGAACCCACCAACACTGGGCCCACCGCAGCACAGGATCTGGAGAAGTGACTGTGGGCTCATCAGGAAACCCTTCCCCCCAAGGTTCCTCACCATGTCAAACCTTCTGGCTAGCTCCAGATCATCCTCATTCCGGACCATCTCGAAGAAGTCTAAATGTCTACATAGGAAAGGGGAAATAGAGAGAGTAGACATTACAGCCAGCATATCCCCAGTGGAGGATTACAGCCCCATGAGCCCCCATCGAATATATCTGAATGCTTCATTCAGGGAGGGGACCTCTTCTTCTCGAACCTGATCTTGCCCAGAGGGGCATCCCACATAGGCTGGAAATGGACTTAGAGATGAGCATTCAGTTATTCTTGGAGAGGGGCCATGACCATGGAAATGAGTGAAGAAGGACTATAGGACCAAAAGGAAGAAAAGCCAGTGGGGCTGGATAACGCATACAGCATTACCCTACCCTATCCCCTCCAAGGCAAACCCAGAAAGAAACCACCTGCCTGTAGGCCAACATTCTTTTCCTTTATAGAACCCCATGCCCCTCCTTCAGAGAGGCCAACCTGGGGTCCCTTCACCTTAGATCAGAGTTTCTCAACCTCAGCACTACTGACATTTTGGGCGGAATAATTCTTGGTTGTGTGGGGCTGTCCTGTTTCTTGTAGGATGTTTATCAGCACCCCTGGTCTCAACCCACTAGATGTCAATAACAGCCCCACCACCACCGAGTTGTGACAACCAAAAATATCTCCAGTCAAATATCCCCTGGAGGTTAAAATTATCCCCAGTCGAGAACCATTAACCAACATCTATCTTCCCCAGTGTCTTTCCCCCCTCCACCCACCAACTTAACCCCAAACGGATCCGTCCTCTGTCCCTTAAGACCCAATGTGATAAAATTGCCTGTCCTAATGGGAAAGGAGCCGTGGTGGTGCAGTGGTTAAGTGCTCAGCTGCTAAACAAAAGGTCAGTGGTTTGAACCCACCAGCCCCTCCGTAGGAGAAAGATCTGGCAGTCTGCTTCCATAAAGATTTACAGCCTTGGAAACCCTATGGGGCAGTTCTACTCTGTCCTATAGGGTTGCTATAAATTAGAATCAACTCAGCGGCAACGAGTTTGGTTTTTTGGTACTAATGGGATTGAAACAGAGGGGGCTCACTGGTAACACATAGGAATTTAATTGTGCCCTTTAATCAACAAGAACCTTTATAGCTTGGGTGGGTCATTTCTTTGTTGAGCAGGAGTACAATGCAGGATGTTTAGCATTCCTGGCTCCCAATGACAAATACCAGAAGTGCCCCCCACCAGCCATTTTGAAAACCAATGAACACTCCCACATATTTTCGAGTGCCCCCTAGGGAGCAGTACTTCTGTGGTTGAGTACTATTGGGTTCATCTGTTTATAAGATCAGAGATGAGACAAGCAGGTTGGCAAAGAGGACAGTCAGGGACATAGACAAGAGGTGGGACAAGGTGGTGGGAGAGCTGTCCACCTTCCCACACACACACAGAGCTGATTGTGAATCTGTGCTGGGTTATGGCGGGTGGGCTCCAGTAGGAATAGCAGCCTTAAACAAAGGTCCTGACCGTCCCAAACTGAGGCAGTGTCCACAGATTTGCAGTGGGGACAGGTGGCTTGAGGCTTACTTGTCCAGGATGGCATTCTCGTGTTGCCGGAGTTTGTCAATCACAGGCTGTATCCCCAGCATCAGGAACTCATACCGTAGATGTAGGCGGAACTCCAGATTATCCTGGGGGTCACCAAGGGAAGACCAGACTCACTGGCGGGTTCAAGGCCCCGATTCTCAATTGTCCCACCCCAGCCATTGTCCCACCACATCTCCTGCAGCAAACTTACCTGGAGCTGTTTCAAGTCCCAGCACTCCAAGAAAGGCAAGAGGAGACATCCTTTGACCTTGTTATTTCTCTAAAGCAGGCCCACTACCCAGCTCCTTTAAGGCTCCTGCCTCGTCTCCTTCAAGTTCCTTATCAGTTTTCTCTTAGCCTTCAGCATCAAAGAGCAGTGGTTTATAGTGATAGAGCACAAGATTTGGAATCAGGCAGATCTTGGTTCAAATCCCTGCTCTGCTACTTAATAGCTTTGTGATCTGGGGAAAACTTTAGTTTCCTCATCTGTAAAATGGGAGCAACATTACTTACCTACAGGGGTGATAGTCATAAAAATTACCTGGTGAGTTATAATTACCAAGTAATCAGAACAGATGCCAGCCATAAATAGCTGGTACTGGTAAAAGTGATGTTAGCATCTTTCGGACAGATTATTCCTCCAATGCATTTCACTTAACCCAGTCCGTCAGGGCTGGATGCAAAAATATATACTGGCAAAAAAGAGGGAAATGTAGAGTTCCTTTTGTCCTTCAGTAGTTGACCTTAACTGGGGAGTAAGATTGCCTTAGAATTTGGGGCGTTTCCCTGCTCTTCAAGTTCTTCTTCTAATGTTGCTATTTCTATGGTCTGGGGACCCCATTTAGCAGTGGTGTCACTAGGAGACAAGGGGGAGGCAGACCACACTGACTGACACTGTCAGAGGGGGGTGACACAAAAATAGGGGGTGGTCTATAAAATTTTTGTGCAGTGTTTCAGCAGAAATTTACTACTTTTTTAAAAATATTCCTGTAGTCAGTTATAACAACAAAAGCATTTTTCGTAGGCCCAGCTTACATGTATTAATATACCTACAAGGCTAAAACTCTATGCTAATTTACTGTTTGAACCTTCTGATGCCCTCCAGTCGGAGCTGTCATTATTACCCAATTACAATGACGCTTCAAATCCCGGGGTTTCGTCTGCATATACTACCAGCAGGCACTGTTGTTTTCATTGCTGCTAGTGTATTTATAGTCCCTGATTTTGTCAGATTTTCTGGTGTTTTAGCTACAATATTATGGTAATTAGTATTTGTGAACCTCTATCAATAACTTTTTTGAGAATGAAGTAGTAATTAAAGAAAAGAAGGAGTGATATACGGGAATTAAAACTTATGAGTAACATTAGTACAAAAAAACATTACTAAGGATTCTGTATGGTCTGATACAGGAGGAGGTCCATGGGGGGTGGGGAGGTGACATTATGAGTTACCACACTGGGTGACACCAACACCAGTGACGCCACTGCCATTTAGACTCCAAAAGAAGGGAAACCAGAAGCCATACCTCCTGCACTGGAAGACCAGGGCTGGAAGCCAGTCTAGAAGCAGGCCAACAGAGCTCTAGAAAGAAGGGCCAACCTTGTCCTCCTCCCATAAATGAACCCCTACCAGCTGAGCAATCAGCAGCAGCCAACCTCAGTGGTTGTTTATGTTCTCTGTCCATGACACACAAGATGCGTGAGGTTACCTATGTAGGAAACTCTCCATGAGTGCTCCCAGGTTTAGATAAAAACTCAAAAGAATTCTGTATTGAAGCAAAGCCAGAATTAGTTTTTGCCACAACTTTTGAGAGCCACAGATAAGCTAGGCTGTGGGATATATACAGTCCAGGTCTGGTTGACACTGTGTTGCCCTCTGTAACAGCAAGGTTCATGACATGCTCTTCTCTCTTAGTCCCAAGTGAAGGAGGCTTGAGGTTATAAAGATAATCTGAAGATGGTGATGGTAGTGGCAGCCACACCAGCCAGATGCCTCAGCCCCTTCCCTCTACCACTTCCCGAGGAAGCACGCACATACTCTACCTGCCCCAGAACCAGGAAATCAGTGAACAGCAAAGGCCAGGAGAAGGTGCCTCACCTCTCCAGCTCCAGCGTTGAGGACAGCATTGATAAAGGACATGATAGCTGTTTTTAGGTTCACTTCATCCCGGTATTGGCCCAAACTTCGGTCTAGCTCATTCAGCAGTGTCTGGAGGGAAAGACAGGACAGATAAGGAGAGGACATCTTAGAATACTACAAATCCAGCCTGTAAGTCTTTGCTCTTGCCATTCCAACTACCTAAGATGCCCCATCCATTTTTCCTATGCTATCATGTCTACCCAGCTTCTCTTGGATCTCCCCTAAACTCAAATTGCAGGAAGAGTTCTTTGCCTCTCCATACTTCAGTCTCAGTACTGACTGACTTCCTTTCCACTCAGCTTTTGAGGGCTTGGTTTATACTGTTGGACAGTGCTGAAGTGCTGCTTATAACAGTGCTTCAGTTGTTTACAGCTCGTATGTATTTCTTATCCAGCCCCTTGATAACGTGGACACTGCCTTTTATCCCTTTTGCATCTTTTGCAAAGGACCAGAGGCCAGTTTCTGCACAGAGCAGATGTTCAAAAATGTTTGATGACAGAATGAACAAATAGCCCATGCTAGAGGATAAACCGTAGAATTTGCAATGCCAGCTCACATCTATGGAGCACTTGCTGGGTGCCAGGCACTGTGCTAAAACACACTATATTTGTCGTGTGACTCATTGATACTTTTCTTTTTTCTTTTTTGTATTGTACTTTAGATGATGGTTTACAAACAAACTAGCTTCTCATTAAACAGTTAGTACACATACTGTTCTATTACATTGGTTAACAACCCCATGACAAGTCAACACTCTTCCTTCTCGACCTCGGGTTCCCTATTACCAGCTTTCCTTTCCCCTCCTGCCTTCTAGTCCTTTTCCCTTGGCTGTTGTGCCCCTTTAGTCTCATTTGTTTCATGGGCCTGTCTAATCTTTCGCTGAAGCATGACCCTCGAGAGTGACTTCATTACTGAGCTAAAAGGGTATCTGGGGGCCATACACTCGGGGTTTCTCCAGTCCCTGTCAGGCCAGTAAGTCTGATCTTTTTTTGTGAGTTAGAATTTTGTTCTACATTTTTTTCCAGCTCTGTCTGGGACCCTCTGTTGTGATCCCTATCAGAACAGTCAGTGGTGGTAGCTGGGCACCATCTAGTTGTACTGGATTCAGACTGGCGGAGGCTATGGTAGTTGTGGTCCACTAGTCCTTTGGGCTAATCTTTCCCTTGTGTCTTTGGTTTTCTTCATTCTTCCTTGCTCCCGAAGAGGTGAGACCAGTGGCGTATCTTAGATGGCTGCTCACAGGCTTTTAAGACCCCAGACGCTGCCCACCAAAGTAGAATGTAGAACATTTTCTTATAAACTATGTTATGCCAATTGAACTAGATGTTCCCCGAGACCATGGTCCCCACAGCCCCCATCCCAGTAATTCGGTCCCTCAGGGAGTTTGGCTATGTCTATGGAGCTTTCATGACCTTGCCTTGTACACATTGTGCTTGCTTCCCCAGTATTATGTTCATTGGTACTTTTCTAGAGCAGGTCAGGGAGAAGAAAAGAGAATACCATGGCCCGGGCTCCCAGGACTGGTCCCAGTATCCCCACAGTGGGCACTGGCTAAGGCATAGGGCGTCATCTTGACCCCAGCAATTGCATTCTATTCAACAATTCTTGAGTGAGGTCCTGTAATGAGCCAGGTGCTGGGCTCAGAGCTGTAGACGCCATAGAAGAAAGCAGATTAATATTCCAGCCTCAGGGGAAGGCCCACGACCTACTGAAGGGGACAAATCCATTTTCCCAGCCAAACCCTTAAAGAGGGCTCTAACTCTTGAGGCCCCTGGTGTCTTTTTATGTAAACTGTCTGGGTCCCAGTACTCTGCCTGTTACCTGCCAAGAGCCCCCATGCAGCCCACATTACCTCCCCTTTCCCCCAAGTCTCTGCCACAGAGAATCCTCAGTCCGTCACCCCTAGGATGTGACACCCCTGCCTGCCCCACCCAGCTGGCACCCCTGCCCTCCAGCAGGCCCCTCACCTGGAAGCGCGTCCGCTCGGCCGCATACACCTGGTAGTGCAGCATGGCCTGCAGTACCTTCTTGTGGCCACCAGGCACAAGGCACACAGCGCCTAGGATCTCCAGAACCGCCACCTTGGTCTTGCTGTTCTCAGTGCGCAGGCTCTGGGCAATGGTGCTGATGGCCTCTGGCTGTGCCAGCACATGTGCCCGGCCCTGGGAGTTGTTCATCAGTGCCTTGATGCAGCCAATGAGGGATGTGTGGATGCGACTCTCACAGGTGGCGTGGTCCATGCTCCGGAGGAAATTCAGCAGACAGGTCAAGCCCTCCAGCTCGATAAAGCGGGTCACAAACCTACCCCAGCAAAAGCCATTAGCAAAAAAGATACCTTGCGTTTGCATACTATACCAAATACATTTTGCAAATAAGAAAAACAAACCCATTGCACTGAGTTGATTCCAACCCATAGCGACCTTATAGGACAGAGTAGAACTGCCCCATACGGTTTCCAAGAAGCACCTGGTGGATTTGAACTGCCAACCTTTTGGTTAACAGCCATTGCTTTTAACCACTATGCCACCAAGGTTTCCATTTTGCAAATAGTTACCCCATTACCTGTGTATCACCATGCGCCCTGTCGTACCTATAGTAGCTGTTAGGTTCATTTATAAATTTTTTCAAAAGCACTGAAATCCATCCTACCACCCTCACAGGAGACTAGCATCTCATTTGCATATTAAAAATCTTGCATTTGCATATCATCGACATCTGTTGCATAGCTGTGATGGTGTATATTGGAAGAAGATGATCATAATTATTATGGCTTTTAAACCTAAATCCACCTCGAAGAATTCTGAAGACTCATCTCCACTAAGGATAGGAATTAAGAGAATTGCAGTCAGATAACATGAAGGACTTCCAGACAGAGGGCCCATTGGAGTCACTGAGTCAAGGGACAAAGGCTGGGAAGCTACTTTTCAAGAGATCCTTAAGAAAACAGTGGAGAGTTACCTCGAATGTCAGCAGAAAACAGTAAAAACCAGTTAGTGCATGGGTTCTTAACTTGGAGTCTGTACGCCCCTGAAGGGATTGAATTTAGGGGTCCATGAACTTGGATGTGAAAAGAAAATCACATTTTTATTTTTGCTAACCTCTAACTGAAACTTAGCACTTCTTTCAATGATGAATGGAGGCAATAAACCATAGTGGTATTAGCAGAACCTGTGACTATCACCCATAGAAATCACAGCTATTTTCATATCAAATTATGGTTGGTACAGGTATCTCAGCATATCATTTATACCCATCAGTACTTCAAAATTACGGTGGTTATCAGATCCACTGCTAGTTCTTGCTGTTTAAGGCATAAAGAAGCACATTTAGTGCTGTCTCACAAATTTGTAATATTGTAAATAATTTAATGGGCTTATTTTTTAATCCTACCTGTTTTATTTTATTACTTAAAAGCATTACTCTGATAAAGTGGTACAAAGTTTTCACCCAGGTGCCAAAGACATCTATCACACACGCAGACATGCACACACACACTCTCCCTTCCTCTGCCTTCTCACACCCCAGGCCCACACCACACACACACACACACACACACACAAAGGTTTAGAACCCTTGATTTAGTAGAATGATCAATGACCAGAGAAATAGTCATAAATGAAGCTGAGGAAACCACTACACCGAATAAATACATCAAGTGTATTTGTGTGTATTTCTATATTGTACAAATATGCCTAGGAAAATAGAAGGATAAATTCTCAAAATGTTAAGCTGTTAACACTAGGTATTTTTTTTTTTTACTTTCTTCTAGCATATGCTTTTTTGTAGTCCACAAAATTTTCACAATAACTGTGTGTAAAATTTGTAATCAGAATTTTATTAAGGGAAAGAAAAACCAATGGAGGTGGACGATAAACCTGGCAACCTTCAGAATGAGTGAGTGTATGTTGAGTGTGTGTGTGTGTGTGTGTGTGTGTGTGTGTGCGTGCACGCGCGTGCATGTGTGTGTGTAGATGAATGCCCTGGTCAGAGGACACTGTGCAAATATGTCAGTGATTCGCCCTGTGAGCCATCCACTCGTTGCACATCGAGGGGCTGGAGCAATTAGGAAGTCAGAGGTTGTGACACCAACCCTCAGTCTCTTACTTCCTGACCTCCTCACCCTTTCCTGCATCCTCTTCCCATTCCAGACCTGCACCCCTACTAGAGAAGAAAAGGGGCCATAGGGTCTTCCCATTCTCCTTAAGGCTCTGTTTCCAGGCTCCTAGGGCAGAGGGCTCAGCCCAGACCCTCCCCCGCCCCCCCCAACACACACACTCACACACACTCAGAGGACAAACTAGTGGATTGCTGGTAAATGTTTAAAAACTGGCTCTCTTAGGAAAGAAAGGTGGGGAAAAAAAGACAATTGTAGCATTTCCTGATATAAATACTCCCAGTAGAGCCAGGTTCAAGCTACCAATGTGGCATCACTGAGCATGCAGTCCAGAAGAGATGCAGAATAGTACACCATTAAAAAAACTAAACCAAACCTTCTGCCGTTCAGTCGATTCCGACTCATAGCGACGCTATAGGACAGAGTACAACTGCCCCACAGGGTTTCCAAGGAGTGGTGGCTGGTGGATTTGAACGGCTGACCTTTTGGTTAGCAGCCAAGCTCTTAACCAATGCACCACCAGGGCTCCAATACACCATTACATATATAGTATTTTCACCATGCAGAGACAATGGATGCAAATTAACTCAAGAGCATATAGATCATGGCAAAACGCAGCAAAATAATTAGGGAGTGATAAGGTTTGAGTACTTATAACCTTTGTTTTGATATAGTTTATTTAATTGTAAGTTTATATAATTTAATTTTTTATCATAGCTATGTTTGACAACCGGCTTGCAAAATTCTTGAAAATTTAACAGTTAGCCTTCCCAAGCTGGTAAAAGCCAGTTGCAGCACACCACTAGGAGACCCAAACCCAAGAACGCCTGTTTCTCTTGGCCCCTCTTTTGCCTCCTGCACTGTGTGGTCTGGAAAGGGGAGAGGTTCTGGGGTTCTTTTATGGTCTTTAGGACACCCATCATTCCGTTTTCCTTGCCTCAGAGAAAACTGCATTGCTCCCACTCTGGATGGAGAAACCACATCAATAGACATCACATCTCCCCCTAGTGGTGGGAGTATTTCTCAACCTACACCCACCTCCTACCTGCCTGGGGCACTCATCCTGCCCCCTCATTCTCAGGAAGCTCCTTCTTAGACACTTTCTCCATTTGGCCTCTCTGTTGTTCTAGCCTCCCAAGAAAAACAAGCACCTGCCCTCAACTGCTCGTTAGAGAACTCTTCAGATCTAACGTTTATTCAATTTTCCCATGTAAATCTCCCCTCCTTCCCAACATGCTCAGCCCCACCAGCTCCCAGGCAGAGAGGATGATAGGAGCTGGGAAGTGAAGTGATATGAAGTAAACTTGAGTGAATGCTGGGAGTGAAGCTGAACCAGGATAAGGGCAGAGAACTGTGTGACGCCACAGGAAGTTGCGGGGGAACTGACTGGGTGAAGGGATGTGGAAGAAAATGAGGGAAGGTGAACCAGAGTGGCACCTCATGGGCTGCGTCCGAAGAGCTGTCTTCAGGTCTTCCACGACTTGGTTCCTCATCTCGGTCTCCTCCTCATCAAATGCGTACAGACTCTGCATCTGTGGAGCCAGAGGGTAGGAGGCTGCAAAGGTCATCCTGGGTTGCCTGTCACCTAACGCCCTGCACACCTGCCCCAGCTGTGACCCAGGGGCCACCTTCACTTCAGGAAATGTGAGGCCTCAGGGAATAGTTTGCTAAAACAAAGTGATCAAATGAGAAGAGACTCTGAGACTGTGAGAAGACCCTGGTTCTGATCCTGGACCTCAGTTTTCTCATCTCTAAAATGGGGAGAGTTATGGGCCCAGCCTATTTCCCAAGCATGTGTGACATCTAAGTGGGTTCATAAATGTTTAAATGGTTGGGCGATCTGAAGTCACACAGAGTGGGGAGGGAATATGGTAAGATCCTGGGTATAATCAGAATGCTGCTGAGCCCCAGCAAGTGGGGCATGAGGTACAGGGAAATGTAGGGGGACACATCTTGAGGATCTCTGCCCCCCTCAGCCTTTCAGTGCAGGGGTAAGGCAGGCAGGGTGATGTCGGGCAGAGGGAGAGGGACTGCTCACCGCAGCCATGGAGTTGATACGGTCGATATAATAGTCAGGCCAGCTGGTCGCCAGCTTGTTGGGGTCCTCCTGCTCCTGGAACAAGAAGAAGGATGGTATGGAACAACAGGCAAGACAGGCCCGTGGCCTGAGGTCCTGAGCTTCATTTGGTGTCAACAGAGGGATTCATTTCCCTGCCAAGCCCAGAAAGGGTGACTTTCAGGAAGTTACAAAATCTCCATTTCTTCCTTGGGAGAACGATGACCAGGCAATGACATGTGCAAAAACTAGGCAGGTAAATACTCTTTCAATGAACAGTGTGAATAATTAAAAAAAAAAATCTTTCCTTTTTCCCTATGCTACATTTGTTCTGATTATACTTAATAAAATATAATTTTGTGTCTGTTGTATCTCATAAAAATGTTTGCTTAAATTTTTTATGTATTTTTTTTCCAGCTTAATTTTCTGATAATATCCTTCTTATTGCATTTTACAAAAGTATTTGTCCGTGACAGTTTGGGAAATTTGAAACCTCAGTCTCTCAGACAGTTTAAGATGCTCTGATATAAAACATTTGGTGTAATGCCTGACACATAGTAGGTGCTCAGTAAATAGTAACTTAACAAAAAGAAAGAAAGAGAAACTTCCAAGGCCCTGGATTTGGAAACTCAGGAGTCCTCAGAGGCCTGTGATTTAATTATCCAACTTTCCTGAGCAAAGGGTAAGCACAGAGCCCAGATCAGAGGACCTGTGGCCCAGCTCTCAGGCCCCAAGAGAAAGACTCAACTTCTCCCCAGGTATGGACAATAATGATGGGAGGTTAATAAACATTAACGCTGGTTGCAAATCTAGCCCTCTCCTCCAGCCAGATAAATCTACTTCTGGGCATTACACAGGCCCTGCTTATTCCTGTTCCTGGGCCCTGGTCACTTTGAACGCTCCCCCTCATCTTCTTTCTGCCAATCTCCTGCTTCCAAATCTGTGTGTACACCTACCTCCTCCAGGAACCTCCCCAAAGAACCACCCCTCTGCCAGCTAGCTGCCCTGGCCTTTGCCCTGCCTCCCTCAGCCATGACCACTTGGGTTTCATTATTTTGTTTCATAAAATCTAAATTTTAGAGCAGTGGGAAAGCGCCCTTGTTTTGGTCTTCATGACTTCATGTGGACATATGTATTAAAATCTCCATGACTCAAGGTCAAGAATTCTGTCTTCTACCTTGTTTTACGGGTGGGGAGGGAAACCTTACCACCAGAAACAATTGTATTAGCAAACACATACTTCCTGCATTGGCTGGCTCATCACTCTTCTATTCCATATGCATTTAATGAACACCTGCTAAACACCAATCACGGTACTGAGCCCTGACTACAAACTCAAAGTCTCTGCCTTGGATAGAACAGTCTAGTGCCAGAGGCAAGGTGATAAATGCTGTATGGTAGAGCTTAGTAGTTGACATGGAAACTGAGGGGAAGGGGTAGCTAACACAGGCTTTTATGGGAGGGGGGCAGGACAGGGTGGTCTGAGCCCATTGGGCTGAGTAATTAAAGATAAATAGACATCATTCAAACTAAGACAGGTGTGTGTGGGGTGGGGGGTTGTTACAGAAAGAGGAAGTATCATATGGGAAGGTAGAGGCGCTTGAAAGTTGGTAGGGAAATTACCCACAATTTGGTTTGAAAAGTAGTGAGAAATGCCCTTATATTTTAATGAACCATTTACTTTAGCTGTGCAAGAGATCAACTTAAGGGAATTCCAAAATAAATCAATTTGGAACATAGGGAATCATGAGACATGATTAATTATACCTGGAATTTATTTTCTTTCCTCTCTTACTCTTTCCCTCTTTTTCTCCCTCCCTCCCTCTCTCTTTCTCTCTCTTTCCATCTCTCTCTGATTTATTCATGGCTGTTCCTCCATTGCTGGCACATAATAATATCTATTGAATGAATGAGCAAGTATGGAGGCAAGAACTGCGTGAGGGCTGTGGGCCCTGAGATGGCAGTGGAAGGAAGTCAGAGCTGGCACCTTCTTCTTGCTGCAGTAGATCTGCCATTTCTTCTCCGGAGGCAGTGCAAACACAGCCTCCCGGTTTTTGTCAGTGAGATCCAATTCATCCTGCAAAGACAACAAGAACAAAACAATGTCTGAAACCCGGAGACGGTTGAGATTAGAATGTTCAGTCCTATGGGAAATGACAGTCCTCCAAAATCCAGCCCTCAGCCTTATATCTTCCTCCCAAAGAGCAAAAAGGATATGACAGGACAATTCATTTTTTTACTAGAAGCACAATTTCAGTGCCCTCACCTCAGTCCAAGCCTGTGCTTCTGCCCATGCTTCCCTTACTTCCCTTGTCCACAGCCCCCTTGTCTCTCCAGAGCCACCCTCCTCCTTCTCCAGGCCACTGTTCCCTGCCATCTCCTACATTGCTTTGCTAGCCCCTAATCCTCTTGCCCATCATTTCTCATCTTCCTTCTCTTGTCCTGCCCGCCTCTTATCAACACACTAAGTCAAGGCCTGAGAAAGAAAGTACAGTATTCAGTCTACAGGCTGAGTCCTGCCTCACTCCCAGCAATGCTCTGGCTCCCCCAACTTCTGTGTGGGTCCCAGCATGGACCAGTGAGAGCTGGTGAGGACAAGGAGCTCAGCAGAGTAGGAAGGGCATGCCACACCAAAGGAGGCATTGATCTGCTTCCCAGGAAGGCAGGCCTATTGGAGGCAGCCCTCTCCTACTGCACAACCAAGACAAGGCTGTACACAGCCAGAGCCACAGGACTCAGCCCTCTACCAGGCTGGCCCACACTTTCCAAGGAGAAGAACTGGAAATTTCATCAAGTTTAGCGTAACTCTATAGGTAATTTGGGAAGATTTTATAGAATCGGCTGTGCTAGATGGCCCTTAAAAGGCTCTCTTCTTGAAGCTTCCTTCTCCCGTGGTTCATGAGCAATGCTCTGGCTCATTAAAGAAACTGCTATGGGCCATAAAAAACAGAATGTGTTTTCAACTCAATTATAATGGGCTCTTTTCTTAATGGAAGCAAAACTCGCATCAGGACAACAAAGCATAATATTACTAACCTTTAGATTTGCAAAAGTGATAAACAATGAAAGTAATATCTAAGGAAGTATAAGCACCTAGCTAGATAAGGGTATTAAATCTCTTTTTCCTATACTTTTTATTCAAGAGAAAACATTTAACACTTTCCTTCCAACAGAAATACAATGCAAGTCTCATACACATATATATTTTTAATTTTCTTGTCACATTAAAAAAGTAAAAAGAAATAGGTGAAATTAATTTTAATAATACATTTTACTTAGCCTAATCAGAAGTATTACTATTTCAACATGTAATCAATGTAAAACATTATCAGTGACATACTTCATATGTATATTTTTGAACTAAGTCTTCAAAATCAGATGTGTATTTCACACTGAGCTCATCTCAGTTCGGACCAGCCACATTTCAAGTGCTTAGTAGCCCCATGTAGCCAGTGGCTGCCATATTGGATAGGACAGACATAGACGATATGAAATAATGCGCATCAGTTTCCGTGCCGTTGGAATTAAAAACTCCTGCAGATTTAATGACAAAGGTTCTTCCCTGTAACTGCAGTCTGTATATCCCAGGAATACCCTTAGTCAAAATTCCCAGAGTCCTGCTTGAAGTTAATGCAGTGTTTTCTCAAAATTAGAAAGAGAAGGAAAATTAGAGCCATGTGCACCATACATTTCCCAGCATAAACTCTGGACCTCTTCTACCTCTGTGCCTTTGCTTAGACAGTTCTACTTAGACTGCCCTCCCTGCCCCACCACCCTAAACACCCTAGTCTAACTCCCACACTGAAAGTCAGCCTCTTGCAAGCTTTCCATAGACCAAGTCAGAACAATCTCCCTTCTTAAATCCCATAGAAATTATGCTCAACCTTATATTCTGGTTATTTATGGGCATTCTTTTCTCACCAGTAGTCTCTCATCACTGAATTCATGCACATATCTCAATAATATATCAGTGGACATATCTTTTCTCAGCCCAGGCAGCATGTGACTCTGCCAACCACTCACTCCTTATTGAATCCCTCTTCCTAGTTTCTTTGACAACCATACTCTCCAGGAGCCCCTCCAACTTCTCTCCATGTTCCTTCTTGGGTAGAAGTCCCTCAGGGCACCATCCGGGGTCGTTTTCTCTCCTCCCTTACTGCTTCTCTTTAGGTGAGGCCTTCTCACTATTGGCAAGGACTTAGTTATTACCCAAACTCTCTCAAACTTGTGCCTCCCTCCCACCAGTTTCCTGAGCTCCAGACTCCCAGACCCAACTGCCTCCTGTCTCTCTCTACTTTGATGTCTGTTAGGTACCTCATACACTTACGTAATGTTACTATATGTCAGGCACTTTTCTAAGTGCTTAATGTTTTTTCACTTATTTGAAATTTACCACTACTCATTTTACAGATGAGGAAACTGAGGCACAGAGAGATTATATAAATTAAACTCGTCATCCCAGCCTCCCAAACCTGAATCTCCTCCAGCTTGCCCTATCCTGTACTAGGCCCCACCACCCACCTAGTTTCTCAAATCAGAAACCTGGGTTTTACTTGATTCCCACTCTCCAGTCCCAAATCATCTTATCTTTCCTCCTAACCAAGCCTTGAATCTGTCTGCATCTCTCTGTCCTCACTGCTAACATCCTAGTCCAAGCCACCATTCTCTCTAACTTGGATTGCTACAATGGCCTCCTAACAGTCTAACCAGAACCTTTCTTCAGCAAAGTACCCTGAATGGTCCTTTAGCCAAGCAGCTTGGGTCACCTTGAACCCCTGCTTAAAGCCTTCAGTGGCTTCCCATAGCCCTTAGGATTTAATCCAAAATCCTTACATTGTGTCCCCCAAGAGGACCCGGCTCTTTTCTGACTTGAAACTCTCACATGTGCTGTTTCTTCTGTGGAGAACCCTCTATCCTTGTTCCACACCCCCATTCACCCATCTAACCTTCATTCTGCTTTCAGATCTCAGTGGAATTGTCACTGCTTTAGGAAGACCATCTCATTACTGTTCAAAACCAGTCTTCTCTGCTAGCGTCACGTCCCGTGAGGAGACAGAACCATTGCTCATCACTAAATCCCTAGGGTGCTTTTAGGGCCCAGCTCACAGCAGCCCCTCAGGAAACATTTTTCATTTATTTGATACATGATACTAGTCTTCTTGCAGGTAAGACTTGTTTGATTCATCCTTGCTTTTGCCGAAGTGCATTGCGAGGACTTTTGCCCACTGAAGATGCTCAATAAATATATGTTGAATAAAAGGGTCAAAGAACAGAACACCTCTTGTCACGTCTTTCTTTCAAAATTCACACACTCTATTCAAGAAAATGTCCCTGACTAACACCAATCAGGCTTCAAATGTTATTCTTCACTATTAAATACTTCGTTTCTCCTCCTGTGCTGAGGCAAGGTATAAATCAAGGCAACAATGAGTCTTCCTGAACCTAATGTCATGAGGAAAGTTGGACAACTTTTTCATTTAACCTGAATGGTCTCATCTTATAGTTCTGTTATTTGAAGGGCTAGGTTGCCTTAATCAGACACATCCATTACCAAATACAAGTATGAAACCACATTCCAAACCACACAGCACTGCTTCTCTGCACCGCATCCTCCACGACGATGAATGACCAAGAGCTAATCATAGATGAACTTGTAGATGAACTTATGCCAGTGTTCATGCCTGAGTCCCGGGTATGCATCCTGCATTCCTGATCTAGGAACTTTATTGGTGTTCAGGTTTTGTCTCTACCATCAGACTTCCAGAGAGGAATTGAGCTTTTTCCCCGTTCTGTCTCTTTCTGGTCAGAGTATAAAGTTCCACACACAGGGGGCTCTATACTGGTCCAGATGGGCATCACAGCATAAGAAAGAGTTGGTACTAGTGTGAACCACAGAGCTTCAACCTGACCCTGGCCAGACACAGGATATAATCATACAGGACACAAACCAGGCTCCAGGTAGGCTACAGGCATCTCTGCCTGTTGAGAGGTGCCCTGTGTCTGCCTTTAGAATTCCACTCTGTCCTTCTGCCTGTCTCTGAGATAAAGGGATCCCAGGGAAATTCCAGACTGCAGAAGAGAGAAAGGTGTTAAGTGTTCTTGAAGGTTCCTCACTGCCTTTTTTTCACAAAAACCCTACATCTGCCCCATTTTATCATGGCTTAATTGCTGCACCATGAGGTCTAGCATCTACTGGAGATAGGAGATTGGTTCATTCTTTCCAGGACACACTTTATGGCTTCCATTCCATTGAGTGATTCTGTTTCTTCCACACAGCTGAGGTTTCATAGGGGCCCCACTTCCGCCAGAAGCAGAGTTTTGAGAGGCGGAGATCCCAGCACATGGGCTCCTCCCCTCTGTCCTGCTTTGCCTCCTCCATCCACCCTCCTCCCTGTTGTCAACACCCTCCTTCCAGCCCCCTCACTGACCACCAGCTCTGCGAAGCGGACGTTAAGCTCCTCTGGGTTTGGAATGGGGCTGGAGAATTCCATGTACTGCAGAGGGTGGTTGTCCCGGAGGTTGATCTCGGGGAGGTCGCTGCCCCCGAAGCAGCACAAGAAGCCCAGGCCATGGCGGCTCCTCTTGCGGGGGGCCATGGTCACTGCAGGCTGGGGGTCAGCAGGCAGCTGCCCTAGGTCCTCATCGTGATCTGGCCAGGAAAAGAGAGAGCACAGAGTAGTCAACCATGGTAACTATCATAACCTCTTTGTCCCATAGACTGGCAGGAACTCTCAACCAGATACCCAAGGCCCCCACCCTTTCGCCAAAGGCTCTCTTGGTTCCCACCAGCTCCTTTGCCTGGAGGCATTTACATTTCTTCCCACATCACCTTCCCAGTGTTTCTTGCCACACTTTCAGATTCTCCCTCTTTTCCCCCAGAAAAGAGAGGCGGGCTATAGTCACAGAATGTGTCTTCTGGGCAGTCAGAGCTGGAACTAATCTTACCCTCCCCATGATTGTGCAGATGAGAATCCTATTCCCTGTCTTTGTCCTCTGGTAGATCAGTTTTCAGCAGGGCTCATTTACACATTTGATCCTTTCAGGATATGGGGATACCTGATTTAAGGGCATCATCCAATAGGGAGGAGAGGGTTAAAGTACTCTGGCAGAGGAGACCCCGGGGTAATTATATGGCATGGCTCCTGGAGTGAGTGATTCCAGAGTAGAGGATTGAAGGCTTCAGAGACTTGCACAGTTTTCTGCCGAGTCTACTGTACTCAGGCACGCCCAGGTGAATGTGAAATATCAACAGGGCACTGGTTTCCAATCCTTAGAGGGGTCACGTGAGAGAGTCATTAGAGTGAAACCTGGGCAAGGAAATGGAACTGATCCTTGGAATGGTATTCAACATATCAAATGAAACCTGGTCAAATCTACTTGCTAGTCTAACTGACAACAGAAGACATCACTCTGGCCAGAGACAGGAACTGGTGGACATCCAACTTTTTGGGGGGATGGTCTTTGGAACAGAAGGGGTTAAGTCTTTGGCTTGCCACTGAGAGAGCTTTGTTCAATGCTGACCAGTTTGAGAAGGACACTGGCAACAGTCAATGACACCACATAATCCCTAGGTAGGTTAAGCTCAGCTATCAGCACACAGGCTTCCCAAAAGGATTGACTACCCTTGACCACTGGTTCCTAAACATGCTTTCAGGCAAACCAAGAGGGTTCAGTAGAGAAACCATAGCTCGTATACCAAACTGCTGCCCGGCCAGATTCTCCCCAACCTGTATTTACATATCTTATTTTTTTGGACATAAACAGGATTCTGTCTTTATTTCTGTGGAGTATTATCTCATTGGTTTGGGGTGAAGCTATTTTTCAGTCTTCTTAGCTGTTTCTCCTAGATTCAAGTCATTAACAGAATGATCAGAATGCCTCCATGGTCTTCATCCACATCATTGCTAAAAATGTTGACCACGACAAGGACATAGACAGACCCCGGTAACACAGTGACCTCCTCTTGGAATGTCAGGGAATATTTATCAACACTCACAAGGGACAGTTCTTCAACCAACTCTGAATCTATGTAACCATGCTCTTATCTAACCGGCTTTTCTATGAAGACACCATAAAAGAATTTTCCTAAAGCCTTGAGGAAGTCAAGATGTTCCAGACTTAAGGCATTCCCTTGAATCAAGCTCTAGAATGATATCAAAAAAGAAAAAAGATAAATTTGGTATAACTTGTTCCTAGTGAACCCAAGATAACTTCTGGAGAATGTTGCTTGATTTCCTAAACCCTAACAATCTAGCTAATAATTTAGTCTAACCTGACCTGCCTCTTATGTAAGTCATGATCCATTTTAATTATAGTTCCAGAACATTTAAGCAATTTCATTTTGTCTTTCTTTGTAAACTTTGTGACAGACTTTTTAATAGACCTGGGATAACCTCATAGTACATATTATCCAAAGTTGCCTTACATTATTGATTATCTTTTCTATGTTTACATATTGGCTCTCCACAGCTATAGTGAAGGCTCCTTGAGGGCAGGGGGCTATGTCTTCTCTTTCTTTGACCTCCCCCCATTTCTATAGCTAATAAAATGCGTTGACCTTAGTGGATGCTCAGTAAATATTTCTTGGTCAATGGGGAAACTATCTGTTCTCATGGAAGAGCAGGGACAAGGGGTCCTTATTAATCATTTATTGATTGAAATCTCTGACTACTAGCGGTTCATAAGCAATCAGGAATCATTGTGGAGTACAAGAAGAGAACAGCCAGAGGCTGGGTGGAGGAGAAGCAGCCTGCAGGCTAATGCAGCAATCCTGATACACAGTGGTGAAGAGAGGAAGGGAGGCTTTAGCATATTCCATGGGACCTGATGACCAATGGCCAACAGAGGGTGAGACAAAGCCCTGGTCACCAACTGTCAGGGTTAGTAATGTGCCAATTGTGCGGGCAGTAGGAGTGGACAACCCTGGGGTTCTCTGACTATTGTCAAACTTGGAAGGATCATGCAGAACACAGACCAGGACCCCTTTGTTTCATAAGCCTGTGAAATGCAGCTGCAGCTGGTGAGGCTGGGTTGATAGCATGATGGGGTTCTAGGAAGGACAGGTAGATGTCTGGGAGGACCTGTGAACCCCTCTTCTTGCCTTTATCTCCTTGAATTCTCTTTCCTCCCCAACCTACCTCCTTATCCTTCTTAGCTTTTGGTTCATCAGCTTGTAAGCCAGGCATCAGAGGTAGGGGCAAGGCTGGCACACAGTCGGCACACACTACTACAGTCATACACCAGCTGTTTACAGCCATGATTTTCAATTGGTTGGTCCCCATCCATAGTGTTGTTGTTGTTAGGTGCCATCGAGTCAACTGTGACTCATAGCAATCCCATATAACAGAGTAGAACTGTCCCATAGGGGTTTCTAGACAGTAATCTTTATGGGAGCAGATTGACAGGTCTTTTTCCCGCAGAACCACTGGGTGGGTTTGAACCGCCAACCTTTTGGTTAGCAGCCAAGTGCTAAACTGTTTGTGCCACTAGGCCTCCTACTATGCCTGTTAAATATTTTTAATGTCTCCCCTGAGTACAGGGAGCAAGGGGTAATGGCCTTCAGGACTAGGGAAGAAATTGGCACAGACACTCCAAACAGGAAGTACCATCCCCACAGAGGGGGCCTAGGCAACCAGGGGAGCACTGCATATCGGCCCTCTTAAGGGGCTGCCTCTTTGACAGCTCCTGAGTGTGCTTATGTTCCTAAGGACACCTCTCCCATCCATTACTTCCCTGAAATCTGTTCCTGTCTCCCTTTCTTAGGGCCCCATTGGGACATACAAGACCCAACCCACAGGCTCCCAGGTGGAAGGAGTCTCAAAAATTATGTAGCCTCAGGGTAACCAGTACCAGTTGCCTTTGAGTCAATTTAGACTAATAGAGACCCCATGTGTATACCCCACTGAGTAGAACTGTGCTTCATAGAGTTTTCCAATGACTGATTTTTCAGAAGTAGATCGCTGGATCTTTCTTGCAAGGCGTTGCTGCATGGACTCAAGCTACCAACCTTTCGGTTAGCAGTTGAACGTGTTAAGCATTTGCACCACCAGGGACTCCAGCCTCATGGTAGAGATCAGAAAATTGAGGTCCAAAGACAGGGAATGTCTTACCCAAGGTCACACAGCTAAGGACAGCTCTGGGATTAAAATCCAGGACTACAATATCAAGGCTATGGTCCAGTCGCTACCCCACCAAAGCTTGTCTTCCCATTTCAATGAGCCCATCTTGTCCCCTTCTGCTATATAATAATAACCTCCCTTTGCTAGAGAAGACCAATCTCTACACCTTTGTTTAGAAATAGCTCCAGTCTTGGAGGACCCCAAATCTATCTATTGATCTGAGAAAAAATCTTCAAACCATAAACCGAAAATATCCCCTAAAGCCATTTTTAAACTAAACAACTGTTCAGCTAAATTAGTTAAGAATGTCTGCCATGAGCCTCGCGCTCTTTCAAAGAACTGTCTATATGAGATCACACTGTCAACAGTAACTCTAAAGCACAGCTGAGAAGTTTAGGGGTTAGTGAGCTTACATCATGGTGGTGAAACAATATGGGAAGAGCTAGCGAGAATGGTAACACAATGTGAGGAATGTAACCAATGTTTATTGAATTGTACATGTAGAAATTGATGAATGGGTGTATGTTCTACTGTATATATTCTCCCCAAATTTTTTTTAAAAAGAAAGAAATAGCTCCAGTCTTGAAGGTTTCCTCTAGGCCAACAGAGGCTTACAGAGATCCCTGCTTCTCCCCCATCAGTAAGAACTGTCTCCATCTCCCACTGCCCCAATTTTTTGCCCACCCCTGCTCTAACGCCTCCTTCACTCCAGCTTCTTGGTGGCAAAGAGGGAGGAGCAGAGGTCCTGAAGTCAGGCACACTGGGATTCAACTCCTGGCTTTACCTTCTCAGCTGGGTGACCCCAATCATATTTCTTAACCTCTCAGAGCCTCGGGTTCCTCATTTGTGACATTAGGATAATAATAGCATCTTCCTCATTGGATTCAGTGAGGAGTAAATGAAGTAACATAAGTAAAATGCCTAGAGCATGGCTGGCACTCAATAAATGAAGGCCAAACTAATACTGATTCCCTGGTGGCGCAAACAGTTAACGTCCTCAGCTGCTAACTGAAAGGTTGGAGGTTAGAGTCCACCCAGAGGTGCCTCAGAAGAAAGCCCTGGAGATCTACTTCCAAAAGATCAGCCACTGAAAACTGTATGGAGCACAGTTCTACTCTGACACACATGGGGTTGCCATGAGTTGGAACTGACCGCAACTTGTTTTGTTTTTGTTTTTTTTTAACACTGATGCTGTGACTTCATTATCATTATCACCAGCAAGGTCAGACTTGCCCTGTCCAGAGTCTGTGACTCTCTGCCCTTCTGCAGGCACAGGTATGGAGAAGGCCTGGCACTGGGGGAATTTGCTCAGCCAGATTTAAGAAATCACCCAGCTTTGCCTTCTGCATCCGGGAAGATCTTGCCCAGAGTTGCTGGGCTTCTCCTTGGGCTCTGAGCTCTCTCTAGTTGGAAAGGTAAACCCTCGGCACTGACCCTGGACAGGGAATGTGAAAAGTGGAGGTGCCCAAAGTGATTTGTTTCTGCAAAAGCCTTTAGAAAGAGGAACAATGAAGTCTCCCACCTG